ACTAGCAGCCACAACACTCGTATAACGAGTGGTCAGCGTAGTGGTGGTAATATTCGTATGACTATCCGACTACGACTTCGACTACTACCACTACTACTACCACTACTACTACTACTACTACTACTACTACTACTACTACTACTACTACTACTACGACGACGACGACGACGACGACGACGACGACGACGACGACGACGACGACTACTACTACTACGACTACTACGAATGCTCTGACTACTACTGCACATATATCCCTGCCTAGCAAGTACGACTGATAGTCATATTTCTGCGACTCGTAATCGTAATGGTGGTAGCACATGTACGATAAGTCGAAATTCAATGTGCACATGTAGTTGGGCATAAATCGAGTTTTAAAAAATAACTCGAGTTAATTTAAAATTGCCGCGGGCGAGTTATCGAGTTAATTCTTGCCCGAGTTATTTTTTAACTCGATAAGCCCAACTTCTTCGTTGAGTTAAAAATTAACTTGCGCCCGAAAAATAGCTTAATATGTGTTAAGGGGAAGGGGGGCCGCCCCTTTTCCTCCGTTCTCATTATCCTGTCACTCGCGTCCTGGCCCGGGCACCCCATTTCAAAAACTTCAGTCCCGGCCGCGAGGCCGAAAACCAACCGATCACAGTGTGCTCCAATTCCGCTGCTGGCAGCCAAGTGGCGCCAGTCACAAGCAGGCGTCAATCACAAGCAGGCGTTCAAGGCCTGCGCCTCTAATTTCAACATATTGCTCTCGCTTGTCAAAACTGTGAAACTGTCTTGTTTTTTTTCGTCCTGGCTGGAGGGCCCGTGAGCCTGCCGAGGCGCCCGTCAAGGGCGATGCTCCTCTCCTCCCTCCTCCGTCCTCCTCCCCCCTTCGTCCTCAGGACCGTCTGGCCGCTTCTGCAGCCCATGCCGGCCGGGCGACGACACGTCGCGGCGCGCTCGCCTGTCCCAGAGCGCCCAGGGCGAGCTGCGAGCGGGGCGTTCCCGCCTAGCTCTGCGCGGGGCGCCCGGCCACATGGTTGCGGCCAAATCTGGGCGGTTTTTTAGGACTCCGTGTCTGTCATGGCCGCGCGGCCCATCGCGCGCGCGGCTCGTGTCAAAATTGGGCACCCCAGCAACTGGCGGAAATGCGGGCGATTTCGCCCCAAAGCGAGGGTAGGAAACTGCTTGGGCTCGTGTCTTTCCAGTGGGTCTTTAGGCTGGAGGCTGGCAGCAGACCCGAACTTCCCAGCGCCTTGTTAGGTTGATTTTTCGGGGTCTCGTAAAATGTACTGTGCGGTTTGTCCCCCCCCTTCCTTCTCTGTCGTTCCCCTCCTCTGCCTTTGCTATTGCTCCCCACAAATCGTTCGAGCAGCTCTGCGTAACGTTTTTGGTGGCGCGGAGAGTCATAGGGATCGGAGCACGTGCTGCCTGGCCCATCGTCGACCCCACCCCGTGTGCACCGCGGTGGCCCCACACATGTCACGGATGGCGGAGTCTTTCCGCTTAGGGGCTACACCCGACATCGGATGCGAAGGTATTCGAGGTACTCGTGAAGGGTTTCCGTGCGAACTGCGCGCGCGAGCAGGGTGTTCTTCTTTTCCTTGTTCTTCCTCGTTCTCTTACGGCTGCCAGCTCCTAACCTGTGTGGGATGGCTCTCACGCAGCACAATACCAGCCATAGTTCCACAGCGCAGGATTGCAGGAAGCAAAGCGCCGCCGGATTTGCCGGGCTGTCTCCGCTACTCGCCGCATGGGTTTTCCTATTTCAGGTCGTTTCGTGCAGCGTTCTGCCTTCTGCCCGAGGCCAGGGCTGTTGCACCTTTCCGGGGCCACGTTGGAAGCTGGATTCAGGGGCCATTTGTTCCCTCCCTCTTCCTACCTCCTCCGCACTTCCCCACCTCCTCCTCCTCCTCCTCCTCCTCCTCCTCCTCCTCCTCACTTCCTCACCGTGTATGGTGACGTGTACCCGGCCGGCCACTTGCGGCCTCTGCCGGTATCGAGTTTCATGGCGATTCGAGCCCTTGTCCGCGCTCAGCCAGGTCGTTCGTATCCTTAGAGGCGTCGGAGGGCTCTCATAGTGTGAAAGAGGGACACAGAAGAGTCCCACAGGTGGGGCGGGGAGCACTATGACGCCCGGTCTGGTAGCTGTTTCGCCTGAGACTTCCTCGCGTCGGGGTTTCGTAGAGGGAGGGTTATCCCAAGGTGTGGCCGGGGAGCGGGCCCACCTGGATGCTCCCGTTTAACGCGTTTTCTTCTTCCTGGCGCCGTTCGGAACGATTTTCTTTCCAACCCCACCTTTGCCTGAATTCCACCTTTGTGGCCCACGATCGCAATGTATTCAGGAGCCCTGCTCTCGGTCAATACCGTCTCCAGTCGGCTACATTTCGGTCCGGACGGCCACCTCCCCTCGAACAAAACAAAAACGCCACGGTGCGAATGGCCGCTCTCACCCCCGCCGCTAGCCTTCCAGCAGCCGCAGATTGAATCCTGATCTCGCCTCCATGCCGGCTACATGCTGGGGCCGGACGGCCACGAGCTTTGGTACCACGAGCGAGCCCCTTTTTCATCAGACGACCTCCTACTCCTCTCCGCCTTTACTGCTATTCTGGTGCTTTGCTGGGTTGATGTGTTATTTGCGCCGTACTTTCCCCGGCAAGCATGGCACATGCCCCAGTAAGGCCTCGCGCTTTTTCCGCTACGCGCGCTGTTCCAGGGGCATGTCTTAGCCGTGGGTTACAACATGTCGCCTGCAGTACTTTACGGGCCCACGGCACCATGCATTTTTTTGTTATAATGTATCAGCTTTCCCGAGTTGACGATGGGCCATCCCGCACACAACGATTTGGACAATGTTTCTTGGACCTGTCCTCCCCATCGTAGTATCAGCTGACCGCTTGGGTGCAACTATAGGAAAGCAAAACCGCACCAGACCACCTGCTCAGCGTAACCGCATGCCGATGATAATAAAGGGACCCCCCCCCTTCAGTGTTTAGAGTTGATTATCGTCGCCCTATACAAAATTCAAATTGGGCGGCGAGCGCTGAGGCCGAACTTAATTATCACCTCGAAACGCGATGTTGAGATAGCAACATCAAGCGATGTTGATATAGCAACATCAAGCGAAGCGATCACACTTTTTCAGGATGTGTCAAGCGAAACCAATAATTTTGGGAGGCAGACTCAAACGAAACGAGCAATGTTCTTATTATTCTTCTACTTTCCTCTTCTTCTTTTATATTTCTATCTGTCCTCACGCTCGCCTGAACTTTTTTATCCCTGGGTTGATTATCCATGGAAAATGAAGCACATGAGCTACCCTACACGAGCACTTAAAACATCAATTTTCATAAAGCGCTTGTAACTGAAAATTGATAGATTTGGAACTTTGGATTTTTCCTTTCTTCGTCCTCTTCTTATTCTCCTCTTCTTCTTCTTTCTTACTATTATTCTACTGTATTCTTCTTATTGTATATTTCTCTCTGTCCCCACGCTCGCCTGAATTTTTTTATCTCTGGGGTTGATTATCCATGGAAATTGAGGCACATGAGCTACCCTACACGAGCACTTACAAAAAAACAGTTTTCATGAGAGATAAGCCATTGTTGAGGATATTTCTATGAAAACTAAACGCCAAGGATGTCTCAAAACGTGCTCGGCTTGGTCTCCTCTTGATCACCTCTTACTTCGAGATTATGCTGAGGTCTGCTGGGCTACTTTTATTATCTCTCCCTGAACCCCGAACTTGATTATCCCCTAGTGTTTATTCTCACGGGCATGAGGTTATTCTCTTTGACACGACTTGACTGTCTTCAGTGATAACATCTGGCCGTTATGCATTGCCGCGTCAGATTATAGAGCACACGTGGCGTTTAGAGCCTCCTTGTGCCGTTTTAGGATCGAGCCCCTTCGGCAAAAGTTATGGCGCGTTCCTAGTTCGCTGTTGTGTCCCAAATTTCACGATGTCACTCCTCCGCGTCATCCTTTTTGTTTTCTCCTTCTGATCCCAAGATCTGGCACCATGCAATCAGTCACAGCGCGGCAGAAGGATCACGACCAGAGCCGTCGGCACCGTATCCGTGCAACGCTTCTGGGGCCAGATCCATGTCGGAGTGTCTCGGGACCCGAGACGGGGCAAAAGCGCGGCCCCCAAGTCCCGAGGGGTCCAGGAGGTCTGGTCTCCCCGAGCCCGCCCGCGTGGTAGAAGTACTTGTCGACCTTCACCATCCTTTGGTTCTCGCCATGAGGCCAACGTGTCCCGATGGAGACGGTTCAGTCCACGAGAGTCCCGGGCAATGAAGCATGAAGTGCAAGTATGTTTAGGGGGACGGGGGGTAGCATGCCCCAGCGATGGATCGCGCATTATCCCCTACGCGCGTTCTTTCGAGGGCAAGCTATCTGGTTGTGTCATGGCGCGGGCATTACTTGACGGGCCCACGGCATCAAGCATGTAGGACAGTCACGTTCCTCATCAGTTCTGTCCATCCTCGGCTGCTGCTAAGTGGTCTGAAGTATTTGCCCAATCACGTTCTTAATTGACAGTTTGGAGGTCATCAGTGTGGACATTTGGCCACATGACGCAAAAGTGTCCTGAGGGTAACGGGTCCGAGGCTTTGCGCCGTTTTCGACTTCTTGGAGCCATCCATTGGCTTCGGAACTGTTAGAGAACGACTCAGGTATAAGGCTGAGCCTGGGGGAAGGTCACGGCTCGATGCGGAGCCTGATTTTCTCAACGCCACAGTCGCCGATGCGTCGCCAACGTCGCCAGTGTATCGGCGATGCATCGGCGATGCGGCATGATCCTCCGACCCCACCTCCAGTCGGGGGGTGTCGTGGGGTGCCCTGGCGAGTCGCGTACTCGCGTTGTTCCCGGAACCGTTGCCATCAGGACCTGCGTTCTCCGTAACGAGGAAGCGCGCGGGGTTCGGCCGCACCTGCGACCTTGCGGGGGCTGGGCGCCTTCGTGTCCCTGCTTCGCCCCCCCTTCGATAGCCGCCGACGTCGAGAGTGTCTTCTGCGCGCAGGTGTACGCCCGGAACCCGGACTCCTTCAGCCCTGGCCCGATGAATGGCTGGATGATCTACACGCTCAGCAGCGAGGGCTACCTCGTCGACGGCCGCGGGGGGAGACAAGGAAGGGTCTGGTGGGCCCCGCCCCCCCGCCTTGTAGTCGTCGTCGCGGTCGTCGTCGTCGTCGTCGTCGTGGTCGTCGTCGTCGTCGTCGTCGTCGTCGTCGTCGTCGTCGTCGTCGTCGTCGTCGTCCAGCCGTGGCGGCTAGGACCCTCCAGGACGAGCCTCCCTCCCCCCTCCCTGCCCCCCTCGCCTCCCTCCTCCAAGCTGCTGCCTCCCCTACCGCCTCCCCTCTTGGCCGCCGCCTGCCCTCGCGCCCCCCCCCCCCCCCTCCCAGCCATGCCCCTCTCGCTGCCCTCCCCCCTGCTGCCCTGCTCAAAGCCGCGGGGGGTGCGGGCGGCGATCCTGGCCCGCCCCGCTCCCCGCCCCTCGCCCCTCGCGCTTCGGGGGGCCGCCCGCGCGGTGCCGCCGCGCGTTGGCCTGCCGCTCGAGCAGCTTGGGGTGCGTTTTCTCCTCGGGGCAGTGCGGTACAGTGGGGCCATTGAGGCAGTTACGAGGGTGGGAGAGGTCATGCAATCGAGGCAGAGGATGAGGTAGGGGGGGTTGGCCTCAAAGCCGAGTCGAGGCAAGAGACAGACGTGGCAGGCTGCGGTTAAAGAGGGTGCTGCAGTGCTCGGGCAGCCTGCCCTGATGACGTGCCGAAGGCGAGGTTGCAACCCAAACCCCCATGGGCTATGAAGAAATCACGGCGGGCGGTTTTTCGCATTTTCGGCCCCTGGGGCCCGTACCAGGCCTCGGGAGTGTCAACACAAGCCGACTCGGGACGGGAAATTGGTCTTAGGGAATCGGTCGAGCCCTCTAGGGAAAATCATGACGTCGAGCGTCTGGGAAAGGTGTGCCTATTTGCTTGGTCATCTTGTGCAGTTTGCTGTCCTCCATTTCTCTTGGCATCTTCCTGGCATTACCGGTGCTGGCTGGGTGTTCTGGATTTTTGTTTCAGGTGTTGGTGGTGCTCTGCCAGGGTCATCGCATGCCTCCATGGACTCAGGGTCCTTTCTTGTGAGGTTGCTGGAGCATGAGGCGCTGGACATGCTCCTGTTGCGGCTTTGCATGTCTTCGTGGCCTTCGGGTACTTTCATGTGAAGTTGCTGGAGCCAGCTGAATGTCCTGGGTCTTGGAGGCGTTGGACTTTTTTCTGCTGGGTCTTCGTGCGCCTTCATGGACTCAGTCGACTTTCTCGTGAATTCGTTGGGCCAGTTGGGTGTGCTCCTGGAGGCGATTGGGTGCTCTGGTGGGTCATGGGTCGCATTCCTGGACTTTTGGAACGTATTTTCCTTTGCAGCGCTTGCACGTCGGGATTTCTTATCAACATCGGTTGCACAACAGATATTGTGCCTCATAGATCACAGCACATATACTGCACAACATAAGTTACACAACATGTTTTGCCAGAAATGCTGGTGTTGATTCACGCTGGCTTCCAAGTCTTTCTGATTTGCCAGAGTCGGCTGTGTTCTCGTGGTCCTGTTGGCGCTGAAGGTGCTGCGTATGGGGCTTCGGCATTTGTTTTTGTCGTCCCGTTCGTGCAATCGCTGTACTTGCCCTGGTCCGAAGCCCGGCTTAATCCGGCTGAATCCCGCTTAATCCGGCTCAATCCTGCTTAGTCCGAGGCCCACTCCGGCGTAACAGCTCCCAAATGGGGCTTAATCCTCCTTAGTCTTCCCGACGAAACCTCCCGGTAGTTGCCTCCTAACTTCCCCCCTCCCCGTTCCCCCCGGCGGCGCCCGCCTCCCCAGTCTGCGGCGGTGGCCAGCAGTTGGGTGCCTGGCCCGAGGGGGCAGGGCAGGCGGGACGGCACGCGGCACCTCGGGCGGGCGGAGGCTTTTCTCGCTGGTGCCCGCCTCCTCGCAGTTCCGTTGCCAGAGGGGTTGGCCTCAAGGTGGCCCAGCTGACGCCCAAGGGAGGCCCGAGGCGGTGCTCATGAAACCTTCGAGTCGGCCCCCGGGAGCGCCCGAGAGGGCCCCAAGAGCACGCCCCCTCCCCTGCAGCGGCCCAAGGATTTGCCAACCAACCGAGGGGGTTCCTCACAGTAGTGGTTCGGCGCTGTCGTTTCATTTCTACCTAGCACGGCGATGGGCCCATTCCATTCCATTCTTCCTCCTCCTCCTCCTCCTCCTCCTCCGTCCTCAGTCGGCGTGGGAAGGCCCGAAACTTTGCCGACCCGCCAGGAGGGTACAAGTTTCATCCCCGCCAGGACTTCAGGGCCGCCCGACTGCACTAGGCCGGGGGGGGGAGGGGGGGCTCGCTACCGAACCATACACGTTTGTCTCGACACTCCGCTAATTGTATCCCCGTTCTCCCTATCTTGCCTCTCCGTGCCCGGAGGGAATGGCGGGAGCGGCTGCCGAATACGGCGGCCGCACCGGGCGCCCAGGCGCACCACCCGGCTTCGGCACAGATCGCACACGACTTCGGAGACGAATGAGGCAATCACAAAAGCAGAAAATGAAGTTTCACATACAATATCTGGAGGAGGCTTTGAATATACTGACAAGTGAAAGTGGACCATGTCTTATTGACCAGGGCACAAGCACGGACTTACAAAAAGAGTTGCAAGACGACAGCTCAGAAGTACTACACGTACACTCGCCCTCTAATGAAGTATGCTTGGTTTCTTTAGCATCAGAGTGGGAAGCTTGCACGGACGAGCTCGTGAGACTTTTATGTGGTACGACTCAGATCAAAGAAGATAGTTACCTATTTCCCAGGTGTGGGCAGCCGAACAATCAGATGGACGTCGCATGGATTGCAGGCGCAGGGAATGAAATAAGCGTGGGCCGACCTTGCTTGGTGAAGAATCGCATCAAGAAACAATCGTTCAAACCTAACAGAGAAAGAATTCAGCGCGCGAGGTTGGTGTATCAATCCGCGAAGCGTCTTGCACATCATTTCGGACCGCTCATGGACAGAGTGTATGACATTTTCATGTGTGCAGACAGTGAGGAACTGGCGAATGGCATTTCTTTGCGGGAGTTGCAAACACGAGGGCTTTCTAAATACAAGAGGAACGAAATTTCCTTGGCGGCGCAGCCGTGGATAGACATTGGTATGGTGTTTTGCAGAAGTGCGAGATTGCATGCATTTGATAGCGCTTGAGTAAAGTAACATCCTAAGCAAGCACACGAATCACATCGAGAATATTGTTGTTCTCTTGCCTTCTCCTTCCCTTCATCCTCAGCTCATGAAGACGGAGAAAGGAGCGTCCCCCTGCTCCCCAGGAACCGAACAAAATCAGAAGAAGAGGGGGGCGGCGCGCATTTGGCGTGTCAGAGGGGGGGGATGACGGCGCGCATTTGGCGCGTCGCCCCTCTTGGCCTTACCGTGGCGAGAGCTAGTCTCACGAGGTAGTGTTTCTGTTGGGATGGACTGGGGTGGCGAGTTTGGGATGGGAGGGCGGGCTTACTTTCAGATGTTAGTTTCCAAGGTTTCGAGACAGAGGGCAAAGCAGCCCCCAGCACGCGTGCACGCGCAGCAGTCACGGCGCCTGCACTGCGTGCCCTCCTCTTCTCGACGTCGTCGTAGTGTCGTCGTCGTCGTCGTCTTCCTCCTCCCCCTTCCAAGTTGCAGGGGGCCCCCCCCCGCCAACGCCGCCCGTGCTTCCTGGCAGGCGATCGTGTGCGTGTCTTAGGCTGGGAGCGCCATGAGCCAGCAGCGCGCGCGGCCGGCAGGCCTCGCGGCAACGTGCGGCCCTGCATCCGTAATTCTCGGAGGGGCATCAGCCATTTTCCAAGTGGACTTGGGAACAGCCCCCTAAGCGCCTTTACCTTTACCTTTTTTACCTCCGTCCTCCTCCTCCTCCTCCTCATCTTCCTCCTCCTCCTCCTCCTCCTCCTCCTCCTCCTTCTCTTTTCCCTCCTCCTCGAGGGAGGAGGGGCGGGTGGTTGAGAGGGGGGAGGCCTTGGGCCGGCGGCGGGGCCGAGGCAGCGTCGGGACGCTGACGTTCGTCGACCCGCACACCGAGAGCATGGATTGGGGTCGCCCGCCGCCTGGGGCGAAGAGAGTTCGGACGCAGTTCGTTCACGGGGGGATGCGAGAAGGCTGTCTTGCGCTCCTACAGTGAGCGGCTTGACTAAGGAACGCTTACTTTTCAAAAGGGGCTCGGTCGCTCCTTAGATCTTGCATGCGTTATTTGCAGCTCTTTATGCGTTGTTTTTTATTTGTCGTTGCTTATGCGTCATTCCTTGGGATAAAAAAGGGGCTTCGTTCCTTATTTATCGTTCCTTAGGTCAGGCCGCTGACTGTAGGTCTGCGCCTGTGAAGGGCCGCTTCGGGCCCACGGGCCGATAGACCATACATCCAGGATGTCCCAACCAATCTGGGCCAACGCCCCGAGCGGGTCGTGGCGACCCACGGCCACGGCTGTGCGCGGTTCTGGGGATCGGCTGCGAGAGAACATACTGCTGGAGGAGAGATCTGGGCCTCCTGCATGGGGCCGGAGAAAGCGGGAACCTCAGATGGCATCGCGTCGCCGAGCCACCTTCGCGATGCGGCGCGCTCTCCATCCCGCTCACCTGTATCTTGGTGTCTCTGGTGTACTGTCGACGCATCGGCGGTGCTGTGCGACTTGTTAGCCCCGTGGGCACTTGGCCCCCTCCGCGAGGCCCTCGAGGGTGCGATCTGCCACCGGGGGGGAGCGCCGCCAGCAGCAGGGCAGCATCTAGCGTCGAGAGGCTGGGAGGTCCTGCCTCCCTCCCTGCCTCGTCGTCCTCTCCCTCCTCCCTGGTCCTCCCCCTCCCCGCTGCCCTCCCTCGTCGTACGGTGCATCTCTCCCGTCGTCGTCCCTCGACCTCCTCTGTCGTCGTCCTCCGTCGACTTGCCTTGCTTGTCATCCCTTGTGCTCCTCGTCCTTTTCTCGCATTCCCCCTCCGCCTCCTGTGCGCCGGTCCACTTCGTGCATCATAGGGAAGAACGCGTCCGAAGTCCAACGTCCTCCCCCGCCTGTACCTCCTCCCCCAGCCTGTCCCCTCGGGCGCCGCGGAGGCGGCGAGACTCCTGCTGACATCGGGGCGATCGAAATGGTTCCGGAAAGAATAAACGCAAAGATCGACAGCAGTTTCTGATCCTTTTGGACAAGACTCGCTGTCGGTGTCGCCGCGGCAGCTGTCCATTTGTGGCAGAAGGCTGCCTGCCCAGCAGCGGCCGCGGTCGGTTGGGGGCATCATGTGTGGCTCGGCATTGTGCCCATTTGTTCCATACCCAGTTCTGGCGCCCAGATGGCAGGAACGCCTCGCAACCCCGCCAAACGAGGAGCAACCAATCACGGCCTAAGCCTGATTTCTCTGACCTCCGCGCGGACTTGGGGGAGAGGCTGCGCCTCCGGCGCCGCCCCTGGCGCGCTCCGCGCCTCAGGGCGAAGCGGCGAAGCTAGAGAGTAATCCCTGCGCGCTGGGGGGCTAGTTGGCACAAAAATCTCGACGGAAGTTTTGCATAATCCACTCGTAGAGCTTCCCTAAGAGCGAAGCGGCGAAGGAGGGGGGGGCCAGCGCCGATCCAAGAAACCCGCGTGGAGCTCCAGAGAAATATGTTCTGCGTGCGTGTCGGACTCAATTCTCCCCCCACTGATCTCCAGGCGAGACTTGTGTCCACATCCGCTGCAGCTTGCAGTTTCGGGCTCCCCTCCCGGCTCGATCTGTATCCATATCCAGTGCGCCTCGGCACTGCGGCGCCTCTCCCAAGAAAGTTCGAGACGCACTTGATGGTCATAGATTTTGCCCACTCAATCGGTGCGGCCCCCGCCACGCCACAAGTTGCACAGCCAGGGTGACGGGGGACTGGCGGAGTTGCGCCGTGGCCACCGCTTCGCTCCAGTGCGTCTTGCGAGAGCCCGGTGCCCTGCGCGCCCAGAGGTGTCGTCCCTCCGCTGCCCAGATGCGCGTCCGCGACGTCTCCGTTCGGGCAGCCGCAGGGCCTCCTGCCACCAGGGCGTCCCGCCGTGTTGGGGCACGCCCTGGTGGCCAGAGGTGTCGCCCGCCTCTTTGGGTGCGGAGCCCCCTGCGAGGTGGCAGCGCGACGGAAAGCTTCAGCATGTACCGCACGGCGCTCAACACGGCGGTTAGAACCTGTGCGGCGGGGAGGGGGCTTGTGCTACGGTGGGTGCGTTGGTTCAGGAATGTGCCCAGGTAGCTTCAGACCCTGGGGGCTTCCTTATCTGATGAGAGGGCGGCGGAGATATCCACGGCCAGGCCTCAATTGGTGCCCCACCAGCTCCCAGACCCTTGGTTTCTATTCGAATGGTTCCTCATCCAATGCTCCTCACCGCAGCCGTGCTTTTTCGGGGCTGTTATTCCCTAAGGGAGGCCGTCGTCGCCGCTTCTGGATGGTTCCCGGCACGCGCTTCAAGACCGTCTTCTGCAGACGGGCGCGCGGCACGCGCACGCGGCACGCGGCACGCGGCACGCGGCACGCGCACGCCGACCTCAGCAGACGGGCGCCTGCAGTGCGTGAGAGGGGCGGAGGCAGCATGTTGCACGCATGCGTCTATGCAGTGCGTGGTGGGCCAGGCAGCAGACCGTTACGATGGATCTCCAGTTAAGGCTGAGGGTCATATCTAATTGCACGTCAGTCGAACGTGAACCATTCGGAAGTGTAGTGACCTTCGGATCATCCTGCCGCCGCCCCTGGGTCGTGGACCAGCGGCGGCACAGACGCCTCTTGGGGTCGCTTAGGAGGCCTCTTGGGGGCCTCTCGGAGGAATCCTGTTGGGGGGCCTATAGTAAGTCTGCTGAAGCCTCCTTGGGACCTCTGAGGGGCTTCTCGGGGGGTTCTTTCGGGCTTGCTGCAGCTCTCAGGCGCCATCTGGAGGAGAAGGGCTCCACTTGTAAATTGCCAGTTCGGGTTCCAGAGTGTTATGACTTCGACTGACTGCGAAGCGATATTGAGCAGCCACAAGTATGCATGGTGTCCACGGATGGTCGTCCTGCCCGCGGGCCGGTTGTTATCGGAATGTGTGATTTCCTTGCGATTGTGCAGTCTTTGGTGGAGCAGTCAGAGTGGTCGGCGTGACGGGATAACATGTCAATTGCCCTACATTGCAGACGTGGGTCTTCAAACTTGAGTGGCGAACCTGGTATTTGCTGACGAGATGTCAGATGTCAGGCCTCAAGGAGACCCGCACAGGTCGCCATCATCCATGTCTCATAACGTGTTGGCATCCCGTGACGTTCTCGTTGGGAGCGCTCCGTCATCATGGGGCCTCGTGCCAGCTCAGCAGACATGGTTGCGCAGTCGCAGCAGTCACTATAAACATGCGTTCGCTCGCGATGTCCAGGGTAAATTGCTGCATGGACAGCGGCGCCCGATAGTGCTGTTGCGCGTGCATTCTGCGAAGCTTGTCCGCCGCAGTCCAGGCTGCGACTTTGGTACTAACCTCCCCTGCTGTCGTCGGTGTGCGCCATCGTCGTTCACACCATCGTTCACTTAACCGAGCCTAGCGGGCGCCGCTGGGGGCGCTGACGCCGGTGAGCGCAAGACGAGCTCCTGGTACGACGTTTGGCCGACTAGCCGGGCACACGGGAGGAAGTTGCGTCAGGTGAGTTTGGACGGGGAGTTTGTCCAGCCTGCGTATCGATTTGTTTTGTGCCGTTGCAGTGTTTGCTGGTCGCCGCGGTGGCAATCAGCTTGAAGCTCACTTGAGGATTGTGTCCCAGGAGGGATGTGCAGCAGGGTCGGCGCGGCGGGATCGGTCGGCTGGAAGGCCGTCAGCATCTCCAACATGCTCCCTTACAGCATCTCGAACCTGCCCGCGGTAGTGACCGTCTCGCCGCTGTGCGTGCCGGAGTCGGTGGAGACGACGCTTCGCATCATCGCCCCGCACGGCTCCCTCTCGGGGAGAACTTTGGGATGGGAGGTGGGAGAGGGATGGAGACGCGGCATGGGGCACAGGAAGGATGGGAGGCCAGCAGGAGGATGGGGCTTATGCGTCGCTCCCCTATGCGTTGGCGTCCTATGCGTCTGTGTCTTATGCGTTGGGGCCCTATGCGTTGGTGCCCTATGCGTTCGTGCCCTCTGTGTTAGCGTCCTGCACGTCGCGCACGCGTATGGTCGCTGCCCTTCGCGATGGCGCCGTTACGTTGGTGCCCTATGCGTTGGGGCCGTGTGCGCTGGTGCCCTATGCGTTCCCTACGCATTTGGGCCTTATGCGCAGGTGCCCTGTAGCCGCTGTCATATGCGTCGATGCCCTGTGCGATGGTGCCCTATGCGTCGGCGTCCTACGCATTGGTCTCGTGCTTGTGCCCTACGGTTGGTGCGATGGCGTTGGGGCCTTATGTTCGATGGTGCTCTATGCTGTGATGCACCATACTTGCTTAATGCCTTTGGAGACTCATGCGTAGCGTGTGCGTTGGTGCCTAATGTGGTGTTGCCTTATGCGTTGCTGGCCTATGTGTTGCTCTATGCGGTGGTGTCTTGTGCAGGGTGGCCCCATGCGTCGGGACTTTCTGTGTTGATGCGTTTCGGTCCTATGCGTTGGTGTCCGTTGCGTCGCTCACACGATGGTGTCCTGCGGCTGCTACCCTGCAACCTGGATCCCTACGTTTTGATGCCCTATGCGGGGGCCGTATGCGTTGGTGCAAAGTGGTTGTTGTCCTTTGCTTCGGTGCCCCATGGGCTGCCTATGAGTTAGTGCTCTCTGTGTTGGGGCCCTGTGCGTCGCCCACGAGTTGGTACCCTTCGGTTGGTTCTGGCTGCGTTTAACCTTTGTGCGTGGGTGCCCTATGCGTTGGTACCGCCTTCTGTGATGGTGCCCCATGCGTCGCCCGCGCGCTGGTGCTCTGCGGTTGCTGACCTACGAGTTGGAATTCTATGCGTTGTGCCCCCCCATGTCTTGGTGTGTCTTGGTGTCCTTTGCTTTGGTGCCTTTTGCGTGGGTGCGCGCGCTGATGCCGCACGACGGGTGCCCCGTGTGTTGTTTTCCTATGGCTGGTGCCGTTGGCCGCACCCGGGGCGGCGCCCATTTCGGCACACCGCTCATCAGCCTCGTGGCCTGCGGGAGCTCCACCTACGGCCCTGCGGTCACTGTGGGCATGACCGCATGCGGAGCGGCGCCCCTTTTAGCAAAGCAGTGACGAGGATCGTGGCCCCATCGCTGTCTCAGTTGGCATGCCCGCATGCGGTGCGGCGCCCAGTTTCACACTCCAGTGACGGGGATTGGACCCTTCAAGGGCTCCACCTAGAGCAACTCCGGATATAACCGCATGCGGGGTAACGGGAAGGCGAATGTTGGCACACCAGTGACGCTGATCGTGGCCCCATCGAGGTCTCAGGTGGCATGACTGTATGCGGGGTTGGGCCAATTTTGCCACACCAGTAACAGGGCCGGGGCTTTGGGGGAGCTCCACCTGCAGTCCGTTCTGGTACTGGGAAGAAGGATAGGGGGCCTCCAGCAGCTTCACCTGCGGCCTCTGGACATGACCGCATACTGTGCGGCGCAAATTCAGGCACACCAGTGATGGGGACCGTGGCCGTCGGGGGCGCCACCAGCGGCCACTGTGGGAATGCCTGCGTGCGGTGCGGCGCCTAGTGTGGCACACCTGTGACGCGGACCGTGGCCTTCGGGGCCTCCACCTGCGGGCACAATGGGCATGGCCGCGTACGGAGCTGCGCCCATCATGGCACACCCGTGACGATGGAATTCTACAAAGCTGCGTAAACATACATTTTCGGAGCTCCGCGCGGATTTCTTGGATCTGCGCTCCCATCGGCGGCGGTTCCAGCGCTGCCACTGGCGCGCTCCGCGCGCCAGAGACGGGGGTCCAACGCTCCTCCAAGAAGTCCGCGCGGACCTTCAGCACTTCACTTTTATGGAGTTCTTCTATCTCTGAACGAGGATTGTGGCCCCATCGCTGTCTCAGTTGGCATGGCCGTATGCGGGGCGGGGCCAATTTTGGCAGGTTGGGCGCCCTGTTGGGGTCAGCCATCCGCGCTCGGTGCCCACGGTTGGTGCCGTGTGGCTGGAGCCGTCTGGTTGGGACCCTGTGGTTGGTGCGCTATAGTTGGTGCCCTAAGGATGGGTCCCGATGGTCTATGGTGTTCTATCGGGGAACAACTGACGACATAAACATCAACTCTTGGAGATCCGCGCGGATTTCTCGGAGCGGCGCTCGGGCCCCCCTGACGGCGCCTCCAGCGCCGCCCCTGGCGCGCTCCGCGTGCCAGGGAGGGGGGTCCACCGCCGATCCAAGAAATCTGCGCGGCCCGTCGAAAGTTTCTGTTAAACGCAGTTGTTCCCTACCTAGGCTCTGCCTAGAAGGGTTCTTCCTCTCTGGGCTTAAAGGGGCCGGGCAGTGGAAAGCGCCCCGGGCGGTTTCCCCAGTATCCGCTCCGCGGTTCCCCCAGCTATTTGCTTAAAGGGGCCGGGCAGTGGAAAGCGCCCTGGGCGGTTCCCCCGGTCCCCTGGGAGCGGTTCCCCCAGTCCCCTGGGAGCTTTAGCTTTAGCTTTAATTTAGCTTTAGCTTAGCTTTAGCTTAGCTTCAGCTTAGCTTCAGTTTAGCTTCAGCTTAGCTTTAGCTTAGCTTGAGCTTAGCTTGAGCTTAGCTTGAGCTTAGCTTTAGCTTAGCTGCACCTCAGCTTTAGCTTAGCTTGAGCTTAGCTTGAGCTTAGCTTTATCTTAGATGTAGCTTAGCTTTAGCTTAGCTTTAGCTTAGCTTTAGCTTAGCTTTAGCTTAGCTTTAGCTTAGCTTTAGCTTAGCTTTAGCTTTGTTTTAGCTTAGCTTTAGCTTTGCTTTACTGCTACTACTAATGCTGCTTTCCTAGGGGCTCCACCTCCTAGGTAGGGTCGCACTGGGATAATTGTTGGTTGTTGTCCTCTTGTGGTGTTCTATCGTTTGTGCCCCATCGACTGCACGACGTGGCCTTCAGGTCCGGAGTTCAAGAACCTACTGCTCACACCCTGCAGCCACACATGTATCTGAATGCCGCTGCGCGTGGGCATGTACCCGTATGGTATCTCCGTCGCCTCCAATGCTATTGCGCCGTGCCCCTCGGTTCTGGTTAGGGACTGGAGTTCTCGTACACATGATGCAGAAGGGACGCAGGAAGGGACGGAGGGGGAGGGACGGAGGGGGAGGGACGGATGGGGAGGGACGATGAGGAAGGAGAAGGGACGCAGGAAGGGAGGGAGGGGGGGCGGGGTCGAGGTGTGGCTGGAGGGCTTGAGGCTTGCAGGGAGGGGGGGGGAGGGCCCGTGCGTGGCAACGGCGCCCCCGTGGGGGCGGCGCCCCCGGGCGGCGAGGCTTCGTGTGGGATGCCAGCGGCGGCGACTTCTCTGGCCTGCCAGGCGGCTGTGCTGCGGGGGTGGGGCGGGGAAGGGAGGCCGGGAGTCCAGGCCGCGAGGGAGCAGGGAAGAGGGAGCGGGTGTCCAGCAGTGGCGACGCGTCCTGGCTCGCCCGTAGCCCTACCGAACAATGCTCTAAGAACCCTTTGTGGCGTCCACATAATGATCTTAGCACATTTCGGGCCGGGGCTGCCTCGTTTTCACACATCGGGATTCTGTTTTAAGAGCATTGTGTTTGTTCTTAGAACATGCTTGGGGTTCTAAGAACATTTCATGGTAGGGCTATAGGAATGCCGGGACGGTCGGTCCCTGCTCCAAGGGAGCGGGTGTGGCGGCGGGGCGGAGGCGGGGCGCAGAGGGGCAGAGGGGCGCGACCCGCCTGGGACCGCAGGCCGGTGGCCCCCCCAGGGAGTCTGCTCCTCCCCTCTGTACGTGGCCGCTGCCTCGCTCCTCCCTCCCCCTGCCCCCTCCCTCCCTCTCGAGATCCTTTCGATCTAGGCTCCGTAGCGCCGCCGCGGCCTCCTCCCCCCTCCTCCCCTCCCCCCGCCCTGCCTGTGATGGCGTCTCCGTCGAGACCACTGGGCTAGACGCGGCCGGCGAACGTGCTGCCGAGAGGACACCTGTGATCTTGCCTCGGGCAGGTGTCCAACGGGCCATCGCCCTGCCCGTCCCGCACCACCTGGCGCAGCCTCGTCCGCAGGAGGGCCGGAGTTCCCGGCTCCCTCTCCGGCGCAGCTCGACTCCCCCACCCGTATTGCCTACCCTCTTGCATGAGGGGAAGGGGGCGACAAATTGTCCCCCCCTTCCCCTCCTGCCAATCTGGTCGCGACAAATTGTCGCGACCAGATTGGCCAGATTGGAGTTCTTTTTTGTTCGTTCGCCAGATTGGATTCAGATTTTGGCCTCCTCGTCAGATTGCCAGCCTTCGCCAGATTGGGCCCGCCAGATTGGCGCCAGATTGGCTTCGACTGCCCAGACAATGGGCAGGAGAAGAGGGAGGGCTTCGATAGATGATGCACGGAGGGCAGAGGTGCCTTGGTCAGCCCCAAGGCGGGGGCATGTGCGGGACGATCTGCTTCGCGAGTCTCGGGGGGCGGCCAAGACACCGACTCGATGAATGTGCAAAGCGACGTCCCTACCCCCCTCGTGGCCGGTGGAATGGGGCCCCCTTCCTTGTATCCCCTGCGAGCTAAACACCAGGGCGGAGCATCAATACAGCACGCTTCCAGCCAGTTTTGCCTTTTTTTTACTTTCCTCATCTTCCAATGCTCGTATCTCGTAGGTTTGAGTGGTGCATTGCGTTCTTGCGAGAGGTGATCGCGTTCCGCAGTTCAGCGAGTAAGCACACGAAGACGAAAGACACTTGGGCAGGTCGACCTTTCGAGGGTCGACTGAGCGCGTGCCTTGTTCTTGCCTGTGGTTGTCTACGATGTGTCCCTAGTTGCTTGGCTGCTGGCTTCAATCACATCGGGTTGAAGGTTAGGTGTTGCGGATTATGTGGTTTGTTTAGGTTATTGTTTAAGAGCGAGAGGGGTGGGATGATGAGAGCATGGACTCGGGTGTGACATGGCACGGCGCTGATGGCGGACTTGGGACTGGCGTCTGCCCTTTGGTATATCTTTGGGTGTTGTTCCTGCGTCCAGCTCGGGGCGGGCTTTGTCACGCTGGTTGGGCCGGAATAAACTGGGTTTGGCTGCAGCGTGCACGGCTGCGTCGGATCCGCGTTAGATGGGGGGGACGCGGATGAGCGCGGTGCATTGTGGGCGTTCGCCGCTCCTTCTTGCATTCGTGCCCCATTCGCCCAGCAGCAACGATGCCGTATCTCGTTCGCATCTCGGATGCGAGGCGCTGCCGCTCAACAAACATTATCCTGGTGGAGGACCCAACCATATGCAGCTGTGAGTACCGCATTGTGGGTCCCAGTCTCGGTGGAACCCTCTTTGAGGCCATGATCCTCGTGTGGGATGTGCCGAAGTGGGCGGGGAGACGCATGCAAACCCTGCCGCTGGGGCCTTCGGTGGAGCTCCCAGTGGGGCCACGATCCTCTGAAGGGGTGTGCCGAAATCAGCGTGTGGACGCATGCAAACCCTGCCGCTGGGGCCTTCGGTGGAGCTACCTATGGGGCCGCGGTCCTCGTGAGGGGTGTGCAGAAATCAGCGGGGCGACGCATGCAAATCCTGCCGCTGGGGCCTTCGGTGGAGCTACCTATGGGGCCGCGATCCCCGGGAGGGGTGTGCCGACATGGGCGGAGGGACGCATGCAAACCCTGCCGCTGGGGCCTTCGGTGGAGCTCCCCATGGGGCAGCGATCCTCGTGATGGGTGTGCTGAAATGGGCGGGGCGACTCATGCAAACCCTGCCGCTGGGGTCTTCGGTGGAGCTCCCTATGGGGCCGCGATCCTCGTGAGGGGTGTGCAGGAAGCAGTGAAGCAGTGGGGGGCGCATGCAAACCCTGCCGCTGAGGCCTTCGGTGGAGCTCCCTATGGGGCCGCGATCCTCGTGAGGGGTGTGCCGAACTGGGGGGGGACACATGCAAGCCCTGCCGCTGGGGCCTTCGGTGGAGCTCCCTATGAAGCCACGATCCTCGTGATGGGTGTGCCAAAATGGGCGGGGGGACACGTGCAAACCCTGCCGCTGGAGCCTGCGGTGGAGCTCCCTATGGGGCCACGATCCTCGGGAGGGGTGTTCTAAAATTGGCGGAGGGACGCATGCAAACCCTGCCGCTGAGGCCTTCGGTGGAGCTTCCTATGGGGCCGCGATCCCCGGGAGGGGTGTGCCAAAATGGGCGCGGGGACGCATGCAAACCCTGCCGCTGGGGTCTTCGGTGGAGCTCCCTATGGGGCCGCGATCCTCGTGAGGGGTGTGCAGGAAGCAGTGGGGGGGCGCATGCAAACCCTGCCGCTGGGGCCTTCGGTGGAGCTCCCTATGGGGCCACGATCCTCGTGAGGGGTGTGCCTACATGGTGAACATGCGACGAGCAGAAGCAGGAATGGGAGGAGGGAGGGGTGGAGGAGGGACTGGGCAGCGGGAGGAGGAGGTGAGACGCGGGGCGCTGTCTCTTCAAAGCGAGGACCCAACACCACAGGATGGTTGGGAAAAACGAGTGCACCGTGCGCGTGGGCGTGGGCACCCGTTCGGTTGGCATGGACGGTGCCGGGCTGCCTGACTGCCTACCCACGCCTTCCACTGTGCCCCTCTGCCTGCGGCGTGGGCGCCCTCCTGGTAGAGGGGAACCCGTGAGCGATCTGGCCCCGAAGCCTGACAGACATAGCCACAACGGCTAGACCAAGTTTGCCGTGGCTGGGGTCTCTCAGGGAGGCGGCCGTGGTCAGTGGACTGGGGCGGGTGGTGGTGGTGGTGGCGTCCCCAGGCGCACGTCCCTGAAGCCCAGTCCCGCCAACGCCCGACCTGTCCCCAGTTTCCGCGCAGGGCTCCTGCTCAGGAGCTGAGGGGTGTCCATCCAGAGCTCGGCTTCCCTGCCCCCCATTCCTTCATCCTTTTTCCCCGGAGGGAGGAGAAGCGATACCAACACCACCAGGGGGCCCACCTCCAGCGAGGAGGTCCACGATGCCTCCCCGAGCTGGATGCTGTGGATGTCTCGAGCGAGAGGGGGGACCACACCACCAGGGAGACTCCCCTTGCCTCCTCGCACCTCCTCGCCCTGCTGGTGTTGGTGTCGCCTTTCCTTGTTCCCAGATTTCCCCTATCAGCAATCTGTGTTTGTGGTCCAGGGACCACCCCCGCCCCCCAACCCCCACATGCTCATGGGATCTGCCCCGTCCAGGGCCGCCCCGCCCCCCACGCCCAAATGCTCATGGGATCGCCCCCCCTCCCCCCCCCCCTCTTCTTCCATGGCCGCCCCCTTCTGGGTGTGGTGTGGTGCTGCCGTGGAAAAGTCGTGTGGATGTGCTCTTCGGAATTTGTGCCGAATGCGCTGAACCCTTCGGGGCTCGTGCCGCTGGCGCTGAACCCTCGTTGTCGTCGTGTCGTCAACGTCGTCGTCGTCGTCGTCGTCGTCGTCGTCGTCGTCGTCGTCGTCCTCGTCGTCCCCCCGTTTCCCATCTGGGGGCCGGGGCACGCGGGGCCTGGGGACCTTTTCCATACGTAGGATGGGGGCCCGCGTGCCCGAAGCTCCCGGAACATATTTTCCCACTTTGCTACCCAGCTGGCCGACCGGGGCCCATCTGGGATGTGCCATCCTACCTAGAACAATTGAACGTCGACGTTGCTGTTGCTGGCCTGGACGTTTAAATGCGTGGCATGAATAGAACGGGGCGCACATCACCCACGCGAAAAGGCGGAATGTGGCTCTCGCCTCGGCGCCGCTCACTTGTCTGGAGAATTGAGCTCTCGCTTGGGCGCTGCGCATATTTTCCGCACCCAAACTCGTCGACGCGCGAGTGGAAAAAAATGTCGCTCTCGTTTCGGTTCCGCGCAGATCGTGTCTGAAAGTGGCGCGGCGCGTATGTTTCACTCCCCAGGTGTTGGGACCCCGCGAGGCTGGGCTACTTGTCGATCTCGCCAAAGTTCCGTGCATATTTCGCTTGAAAGTGGCGTACCCGCCTGCGCGGTGCATGTATCATTCGCTGATTCGCATGAAAGCTGCAGCGGGACCTGTTCGCGCGACAGTGGGCGATATGCTGCCCTCGCCCAGGAGCCGCGAAGCCTGTGTGAAAATGGCAGCTCAAGTTCAGTGCGGCGCGTGCTTCGTCTTTGCCGCGCTCATTGGAAGTTTTGCCGCTCTGGCCCCTGTGCGACTCGCCAAGTCGTCGAATGCAAGGCCGCGCGCGAGCGCCGTCCGTTCGCCAGGTGCAAACGCGTTCCGATCCCAATGCTAAGCGTGCCACACGTGATTCTCATGTGATGGGAGGGAGGACGGGAAGCGGCGGGGCCAGTTGTCTCCCTCGACCTGGCTGGCTTGACCACCTTTCCAACCCCTCTACCCCTCCCGCCCTCTCCCTTCTCCTCCCCCCATCCCCCTCCCCCCACCCTGGCAATGCCAGCTGCGATGCGTTCTGTGCGATACTGGACTCATTAACCCGGCGCTTGTACGCTGCAGTGGTCCCTGGTCTGTTTCTATTGCTGCAGCTCCGACGCCTGCGCACGCAGGCGAGTCGCTGCCTGGTATACCGTCGTCGTCGTCTCTCTTTTTTGGGGCCTGTCCCCCGACTGATGGATCTCGCCACAGGCTGAACGCTAAGTCTTCCCCCCCAGACCTCCGACGTCATGATTTTTGTCACACCGCTGACCCCCAGAGGTCTCGACCCATTCCCCTGGACCAGTTTTCATACTGCGCCGATGTTTGACGACCCTAGGCCCAGTAAGGTTCCCCAGAGGCCAGAAGCAGCGAAAAGCCGCCAGTCTTGTTGATGCTCATGGATCGAGGAAGTCTGGCCTTTGGCCTGGCATGTCCACTGACAGGAGGAGCATTCAATAATAGTAATCAATAGCCTGGGTGACGATGTTCCGTGCTTGTCTCACTATGCTGGATGAGTTTATGTGTAATATTGCTACGTCCAGAATCCGCCTGTAGGATGACATACCCGACCTGAGCCAAGTGGCGGGTCGCGTCGACACCCAATCGCCCCCTGATCGCCGAGAGGGCCTGACAGCCCGCCCCGCTCGGGAACGTTCCGATTCGCTATCGGGGGCCTGTTGCTAGTCTGTCGGCGATGTATCGCCGAGTCGAGCTCGATGTCTCACCCCCTTGAGCTGGTCCCCCCTTAGCACTATCCCCTCACCATTACCCATCCCCACCCCGCCTCAAGCAGAGAGGGAGCAGGATTGGACCTCGTACCGCTGCTACGTAGTCGTCGTTGCCGCCGCCGTCGGGCAAAGCACCCGGAAGAGCCATACGGTCCTCCTGCTGCTCCCCCCTCCTTTCTTTTCCTCCTGCTCCTTCTGCTCATCCTCGTGCCCCTGCTGCTGCTGCTCCTCCTCCTCCTTTTCCTCTCCCCACGTGCGCGCGTGGTCGTGGTCGTGGTCGTGTGTGCGTGTGTGTGTGTGTGTGTGTGTGTGTGTGTGTGTGTGTGTGTGTGTGTGTCGACCCCCCGAGCCGCCACTGTTGCAGGAGGAGTTCCGCACATGGACGGCAACGTGCTGCTGTGGCCCACGCCCGCGCTGTACCAGTCCAGAGCGACGACCACGTAGGGGGAGGGGGGCCACCCCTGGCAAGGTAGGAGGTAGAAGGGGGGGCGGATGCAAAGAAGGGGAGGAGGGGAGGGCGCGAAGGGGTGGGCCACAGTCTTTCTGTCTGGAGCCCCAGTGGCGAAAACAGTTGCGGGCAACGCCAGCGTGGTTGAGAGCGGCATGCGCTGTCCACCAGCGTCGTGGCACATCCCTCAGCGTGGCTACCTGCACTTTTCCTCCTTAGACATCTCGCCGTTTTCAGACCCTCGGGCGCTTCCAGGGCGCCCAGACTCCCAAACCGTGCTCGGAATATGCGAGACTGGTCCCCCTGGGGAATGCCCCGGGATCCAGGGCACGTGTTCCCCTCAGTGCTCCTTCTTCTGCTGCCAGGAGGTGGCACAAGCTGCAGGGGAGCCGTCCTTCCCTTCTCGTCCCCCTGCCAGGGTCTGCTAGAGCCCTGCCGCCTCGGAAGCCGCTCCAGGGGGGGTACTTCTTTCCGGCGTCTGGTGGCCGCTTCCGGGACACGGGACATTGAAACAAACATGCACGGGATGAGAGGCCAGCCGCCGGGATGGGGTCGAGAGATATGGGGTGCCCGCCTTTCGAAAAAGCATGACGTCGGATGTCTAGGGCCATAGCTTGACCCCCGAGTCCAGGTAGCCTTTCTCTTTTGTCGGGCGTGGGATTTCAATCGCCACCTCCCGTTGTGTCGGCTTGGGCACTCGTGGAAAGGAGACTTCTGTCCCTGCGCCGCTGCCCTTCTCTCCTCCCCTCCTCCCTTTTCCCTCCTCCCCTCTCCATTCCCCTCTCCCCTCTCTACCTTTACTTCTCCATCTCTTCCTTACGCCCCCTCTCCCTCCTATGTGCCTTCCTCCTCTGGGTCCTTCTGTCCCTCCCTCCCTCCCCGTACACCTCCTCTATTCCCTCCCCCGTTTCCCCCCCCATCCCATCTCTTCTTGTCTGTATTCGGTTGGTCAAGCTTTGCTTTCGGTCGGCGTGTATGTCTTTATGCGGATCGTGTTTTGTTGTTGTTCCTCTATCTCTCTCTCTCTCTCTCTTTCATTCCCGCTCTCAATATCTAAATGTGTCACGTGCGTGCCCAGGCTCATGTAAACATGTGGAGGTGTGTGTGTGCGCGCGTGTGTAATGTGTAAGGTGTGCGTTATGCGTGTTGTGCGTGTTGTGTGTTGTGGATTGTGTGAGTGTGCTGCGTGTGTGTGTGTGTGTGCGTGCTGTGTGTGTGTGATTGTGTTCTGTGTGAATTCTGTGTGGGTTATGCGAGTTATACGTGCTATGTGTGCTAGTTGAATGGTGTCTGTGTTGTGTGTGTTGCTTGTGATGGGTGTGTTGTATGTGATGCGTGTGCTGTGTGTTGTCTGTGTGTATGTGTTATGCGTGTTGTAGGTGTTGTGTGCGTGGTTTCTGTGTGTGTGGTTTTAATGCGTGATCGTGTGGTGTGTGTTTTGAGGGGTGTGTGCCATCTGTGAGTAATCTCTATATATCTACATGTATATGTATAGAAATGTGTGTGTTCGTGTTTGTGTGTGTTGTGCGTCGGGGCTCGATGCCTGGCAGGTGTCTAAGGCAACGTTTCTTCTGTGATAAGAATTGTGTTGCAAAAGGGATCGATATTGGAGATGTTGTTGGCTCACAATACTCAATTTCGATTGTGTTGGTGCAGGTTGTATGGCAGACTTGTTCTTGTAAGAACGAAGCAGGCTGTGTCGTTGGATCGTGACGTCGCGATCCGCGTGAGGGATGCGTCCAGCCTTCAGAATGTTGAGGGTTCCCCGAGCGAAACGGCCAGACAAAGAAACGCGGCTTCACACTTCATCGCTTCTGGGCTTTTCTCTCCGGGCAGGTGCGTATGATAACATTTACCATTGCACATATACAGCCTTTGGCGGCATTGGTTGAATGGATTGGTCGAGATTGTGAAAGCAGTGATGTAGATGTATACAGACATCAGTTTGCCTATCACTCTCTCTCTCTCTGTCCCAGTGTCCTGACCCTGTGATGTTTCGTATATATGTTGTTCTCTTTCTCTCTCTCTCTCTCTTTCTCTCGCTCTCTTTCGCAAGTTATGATTCAGCCATGCTTATCGATGTCTCTCTCTCTCTCTCTCTTTCTCTCTCTCTCTCTCTCTTTCTCCCCATCTCCATGCTCAGAGCCCTCCTCCCGACCTCCCTTCTTTTTTCCTATATTCATTTCCCGCACACGACCCCCTCGAAGGAGTACTGTAAAGCAGCTCCGCTCTTTTAATCGCAATGGGGAAGCAAGTGTATGGGACGGAGCGATGAGGGAATCCGGATCTGTGTTTGTTAGAAATTGTTGGAAATCGGGAGGCCACCCAGGGGGAATCATGAAATGATGTAGGCGGGATGATACATGACGTACTATTAGAGGAGGGACTGGAACACAGGTTGCGGGGAGTTTTGTGGAACTCTGGAAGATGGGGTGGCAAGCGGCAAGGAGAAGCATAGGGAAAACAAGTGGCGTGGGGCGGAGAGGGAGGAGGCGCACATAAAGAGGAGGGAGGGGATGAGAAGACCAGCGCGTGGGGATCAGCAAGCGAGTCGGCGGCAGCCACTCGCTATGGGTAAGCAATTTGGAAAAAAAGGGCCCTAGAGGTGTATCACAGCATACTTCCGACCAGTCGAACTGCCTTAGTCGGCCTGCAGGGCTCCAGGTGAACTCATCAGAACTTGTCTCGGCCACCTTTCAGGATCCGATGTGTGACTGATTGGAGGCGCGGCCGAAGCAGAGGAGTGGGTGCAGGGCGCGGGGCAAGCAGGGGCGGAGGACTCGCAGTAGTGGCCAGCTTGGACTCGACAGCGCTCTCGCTTCACCCCCCCCAGGAGGCGGCGGGCCACACGCACCCAGGCGGCGCTGCCGCGCGCGCGACGCGAACGGCGGCAGCTCGCTCCAGGCCTGCGCGCTCGCGAGCGCGCCGAGGGTGGCGCCGCCGCACCCCATGCGTGGCATCGAGGAGCAGCCTTGATCACTTGGCGAAGCAGCCACGCACGGAACCGAGCAAAAGCACAGGGAGGGGACGGCCGAGCGATGGCCAGCAGGTCGCGGGCGCGGCTTCCGCGCGGCTCCTCGCAAGAGGCGCGCGGCCAGGCCGTGGGAGCCTTGCCCTCGCGACCTGCGGGCGCCTGGCGCGTGGCCGGCCCGAGCTCCGGGCCGCGCTGGCTCCGGAGGGGCCGCCTCCCAGCTCTGCTGGGAGGGCCTGCCTACAGAGGAGGCAGTACAACCTCGGCCGCGGCACCGCGTTGGGCCTGCCGCGGGCGCACGCACGGGCGGGGGTGCGGTGGTGGCTGGGGAGGCTGGCGGCTTCTCCATTGAAAGCCCAGATTAGGTCGGATAACTCTGGTCCGGGGTGACTTCGATTAGGGCCCGCGGGGCACGGACCTGCTAAGCCTGGCCACCCCCAGCTCCGGTGTCCCTGCGGGGCTCTGGAAGAGGTCGCTTCCCCCTCGCGGAGGTATATCTCCGTAGGTTTCTTATACTCTCGTGGAAGAGAAAGTGCGAGGTCGTCGCCGTTGTCGCCCGGGCTCAGTATCGTTGAATCGACCCCTGTCCCAATCCCCATCCGGACCCCTACCATCTCAACCCGACGTAAGCCGCCTATGTCTCCATGTAGGGGGATGAATCGGCCAGTGGGGCCCAGGCCACGCCCATGGGGACAGGGGTCACTTACACGATGCTCACTGTTGTCGGATTTCGGGCGGGAGTCCTGCTGTGCGGAATGCCGTTCGGTCGCTTGGTCGTTCTGCTTGCGTGGCGAAGTGCGTCGCATGACGAGGGCTTATACCAAGCCCTTCTGAGCCTCACGGCGAAAATGTTCGTGGGATCAGCCCGCTGGTCCGCCTCGTGTCTAGTCGTCCGTCTAGCCTGTCATCCGCTTCCAGCCGCCTCGTCGCCACCGTTGAATTCCACTGGAAGCGCTGGTCAGAATGGGGTGGTCCTGTGGAGCGACTCTGGAGGTAAGTCGGCCAGACGACGTGGTCACCTAGGTCTTGGCGGTGGCAGAATTTGGTGCCGAATTCCACCGTCTTGGAGACGCTGGAGTCGGCGTTTTGGCGGAAACCCGCCAGTTCTGGCCAGATTTGTGGCCCTGGAAAGGACCAGGAAACCATCGTGTTCCCCGCTATCTTGTCTCCAATGGCCGCCAGCGAAACATGCATGATCTCCGGACGCATACGCACAGGGCAATGGGAGGTACTCCTTCGATGCGACGATCAGGGTGCCCGACAAGTTCCCGACCAGCACCGTGAACGATTTCATTTTCGAATTCGGCTACAACTCGACCACCCTGGAGGAGCCCTCTGGTCGGGGACCGGGGGCGAGAGGCAGAGGAGGAGGACGAGGAGGACGGGGACGAGGAGGAGAGCCAAGAGGGTGCTGATGTGGAGCGGGCGAGCAGGAGCAAGAGGAGGGGCAGGGGACGGAGGGACGACGACGACCACGACAACTGCGATTGCGACGACGATGACCCATCCGTTCGCAGGGCCGCGTGTCCGCCGCCTCGGTGGCGGCGCCGCCGGTGCGGGCGCTGCGGAACGCCGCGCTGGACTACGAGAGCAACCTGGCGGAGGAGGACGCGGCGCATTTCCCCGCGGGCCGAGGGGCCCCCTCCTCTCCCTCTGATGGGCCCATTTTCCACCACCACTACCACATGTAGGAGGAGGAGGAAGAGGAGGAAGATGAGGAGGAGGACCTCCTCATCCTCCCTTCTCCCCCGTCCTACACATGGAGGGGGTGGTGGAACATTTCCCCATCATCCCTCTCCTGCTCCTCGGCGTCAGATTGCAAAAAGAGCCTGCCGCAGTCGCCAAATTTTTCGCCAAACGGTATGGGTTGGTCGCGGGTGGGTCGCGGGTGGGTTGCGGGCGGGTCGCGGGTGGGTCTCGGGCGGCTCACGGGCTTCGATGATGACAACGACAACAAGAAACAACACCTGAACAGACAACAGCAGTAAGCCTCACCGCGGGAGCCCACTTCAGTCACGCACCCCGGGATGGTGTAAGTATGACCGTTCGGCCCTGTCGGACCAACAGACGCGCCAGAAGCCCCCCTGCGGGCGTTTCGCTCTGGACGTCCTTGCAACTTTGTTATCTTGGATCTTGAACAGAACAGCTTCAACATTCACAGCTATCGTGGGCCGTTCGTTTCTGGAATGCGGCTCTCGCATGAGCGCGGCGAGAACTCTTCCTAAACATTCCAAGGCTTTTTAAGGATAGGGGCCTGTTCGTTGTCAAACTGCTGATCTCGCCTTAGCGCCGCGAACACTCACCTGAAAACATACAGCACTCACACGGATGGAGGCTGATGGCTTCCAAAATGTGGATCTCGCCTTAGCTCCACGCACTTTCGTGTTCAGGGTTTCTAGTAGCTACACGGATGGTTCATACGTCCGCGCAGATGGTGACCGTGACTGCGACGCGGTGGACCGCTTACACAGATGAAGGGCAGCTCTTGTTCAAGTCTTACAAGTCTTTGAACTGGATTTTCTTTCCGTTTTTGCGGCCATCTCAAGTAGAATGGCCGATGATGCATCCCTACACAATGGGGTCTGGCCCGGCGCACTGGGTGCTCGTCGTTTGTGGGGGACGCTTCCCGCGCTGGAGAGGAATACTTGCAGTGCCTACGCGGAGGGGACCTGGGCGGGAGGGTGTACTGCAGCATCGTGGACGCACGCTGGTTGTACTCCTGTCCTCCTCGCCCTCCCTCTCTCCCGCTTCTTTTCCTCGACCTTCTCGCCCTCGACCTCCAGGTATCACGGCTCCCGCTACATCCCCGGGCCCCGCCCGCGTTGCCCCGTGGGGGGGGGCGCCCCGCCGCTCCTCAGCATCTTCGGCGAGCCAGGCCCCGAGGGGACGGGCCGCGCGCGTGGAGGCCCGCGGCGGGGCCGGCGGGGCGCGATCTCCTCGCTCAGTCTCGCCTGGCCTCCTTTCTCTTTGCCCGTTCACCCTCTCTGGGTCTGGGCCGGCTGGTAGCGGAAGTGGTGCTCGCGCCACCCAGCCCGCCTCCCCACTTGCGAGAACAGCGAGGCGCTTCATCCGACGGTCGACGACCTCCCCCCGTGCGTACATCCCCCTCCTCCCTTTTGTTTCTGACGTCGCCGCACGCGCTGCGGACACCGCGCTGTGTAGAGTGAGTTCCAGTCTTTAGCCCTCTGGGAGAGACGCTGCTGTCTCTGCTTCTTGAAGTATTCGGTGTCGAAACCCTTGACCACGTCGTGATATGCTTCGTCATCTCTGCTGATGTAACTCGGCATCGGCTCTCCGGTGTCGCGTCGCAGGTCGAAGATCCATCTGGCCAGGTGCTTACCTGCGTCCTGGATGCCGAGCTTGGCACGGACGTGTCTGAGCAATTCTGTGGCGCCGTCGTCTCTCTCGATGCGGTCCTAGTCCACGTCTTTGGCGGCCTGCCTAGCGCGTCCCTCGAGTCGTCGCCACAGTCTGGGGCCGCACACGTACCGTTTGTCACGACGGTTCCCTCTGATGTAGGCCTTGACATTGCTCTCGTAGTCGTCTGCCGTGGTGAGGTCTCCATTCCACATGGGTGCAATGTCATTTCCATGGTTGGCCTTCGCCATGGCTCTGTAGAGTACTGTGGCCCGTGAATATGTAGTCCCTGGTGCTTAACTTCTCCGCTGCCATGAATGGTCCCGCTGAGAACCACTGCCCTGATCTAGTGCGTACTTTTCTCTTGTCTTCTCTGGTAACGTCTGATATATTTCGATATAGATGTGCAAGGGGTCGGGCAGTGTAGTGCGATGCTGATCACACGCTGGTCCTGGACGGGAGCTGCGTTTCGACATTGCGGCCCAGCTCGCAATCCTGCGCCTCACGGGCGCACACCAGAAGTCCAGCGACAGATCTTCTCGCTGCAAGGCTTGAGCCAAGACGGTTTCGGTAGAAACGTCTTTGGAAATGTGTGAAACGCTTATAATGTGCCTCTGGGGATTGGGGCTCTTCGAGGGCACTCGGGGAGACCATTAAGCATGGCTAGGCTGCACATAGAGTGTGGGAAACACGATACGCCGTCAAACGCAGACTTACATAAAACGTGGCTCCTGTAAGTGTACAATTTAGCTCACACTCGGCCTCCAGAGGCCATCTGTCGTAAGTAAGCTCTGGTAAGGCAAGCTCTGGGCTGTGAGTTGCAACCCCTACCTCCTCATCATCCCTCTTCCCGTGCTCGCCATCATGATCCTTCTCCTCACCCCGCTCCTCTTCGTTCTCGTCCTCTGGCGACTTACTCCGCTCCTCCATGCGGATCTCCAGGCCTTGGCCCCACCCCTCCGCCCCCTTCGGATCCTCCTCTGCCCCCTCCTGCTCTCCAAGCCCTCCCTGGCACCCAAGGGGCCCGGTAGGTTTTCAAGAGGCCCACGAGGCACCATCGAAGTTTGAGAGGGGCCCACGTTGCGCCACGAGTGTCCACAGCACTCGGGGGGACGGACGAGGTGCAGGCTGCATCGGGGGACAATGAGGATGAATAGCAGGATGAGGAGGAGGCGGAGGAGGAATGAGAGCAAGGATGAGGCGCGCAGTGAACGCAAGATAGGGGGGCGAAGTGGAGGAGGGAGAGGATGATGAGGAGCAGGAGGGATGGGAGGTTGTGGCGACTTGGGGCGTGGACTGAGAGTGTGGGCTGAGGAGGGGGAGAAGAAAGTGCAGGGGGGAGAAGGATGAGGAACAAGTTCTATGAGGATGGGGAGAGGGAGAGGATAATATGAAGAACGCGCAGGGGAGAAGGGCACGCGTACCCTGAGACCAGTGTGGTCTTCTGGGCAGGGCACGGCGTATTCCAAGGAGGGGATAGACGAGGATGAGCAAGATAAGCAACCGAGAACGCAGTCGCAGTGGGATCTGCAGAAGGAGGAGGCGGAGGAGCATGAGGATGCGAGACTGGTCGTGAACAGCCGAGGACACCGTGCTCATCTTCCAGATCCAGACCACCACAGACATTCCTGCGGGTGGGCGCCTGACCATCACCGGGCCCGAGGCTTCTCTGCACCGCGGCCGCCGTGTACCGAGGGCCAGAGACAGCAACAAGGAATGTGCAAGAGAGCCCTTTTGCCGGCGTGGATGCTAAACGGTGGGGTCTTGCACTCACGATCTGAACCCCACGTATGCCCGAGGAGGAAATGGTACCCATACCTCTACCCTTCGCCCGTTCCCTCCTTTTTTGGGCCTCCTGGGAGGCCCTCGTCGCCACCGCTGCATTCGCCTCGAAATTCTTTTCAGATTGCACCCCAGGAGAGGTCTGGGGAGTAGCGGTATCGGTACCTTTTGGTTCCCCACTATGTGGCGCAACCTGTGGGATGCAATCTACGAATCTACCTTGTGCAATCTACGCATCGCGATCTGAGCGGCAACGTCCTCGGGCTCCACGTTATGGGGTACCATCGATGTGGTGCTAGCTACGTGGTGCGAGGTACTGGGTACAATCTGCGTGGTGCTATCTGGATGATGTGTGCAAGATGGTGCAATCTATACGGCGTAACATGAGTTGCGCTATCTATGCGGTTCACGCCATGTGGTGCAGGCTATCGGGTGCAATGGATTCGTGCGATCTGTTCCGTGCAATTCAATGTGGGCATCCGCGGGTGACCACCTTCCAGTCTTGAGTACACATCCACCTTAACTAACCTTCTTGGCAACACGCAGAAGGGTCTGAGAGAAGTTACTCCCCGTAAGTTGCTTTCAGATATCAGCTGGCGCAATAATTCGCGGACCATGCTCATGCAGATGCATGGTTCGGGCGGGTCGGTGATGGTGGTGATGGTGACACCAGCGACGACGACGGTGCCGAGTACGACGATGGTGATATCATGATAATGCTGATGACAGGTGCAATGAGGGCGCTGGCGATGGTGAGGCCAGTGGTGTTCATGATGATGGTGGACTGTGCAGACCCTGATATTCTGACATATTGCTCATTGGAGAACATCGTTGGTATCTGAGTCTTTTTGGACATTCGATATAGTTTGGAAACAAGCGGATATGGCATGCGCGCGCGAGGACGGGAACGCGCGACCCACATGGTAAGGCTTGACATAGTGATTGGGTACACGATGCTTGTCGAAGGACTTCGACGTACTCACCGCATCGAGTATATTGCAATGGATGACGGGGCGTGTCAGTACCAGCATATCGGTTGGTTGCGCATTTTATATTCCAAAGCCTAAGGCGAGCGATCCTGCAGAACACACTGCAAACTCAATGTGGAATTTCGGACTGTGAGTTCCGGCTTCGGCATGATGGTCTGGTGTATATTCGTAAGGGATTCGCCCCTTGCCGCAGGCCCCCTCTTTCGGAGAATGCGCTATGCAAGAGCTATGTCATGAGGCCTGGGCGCTGTCGTGAAGCAGTATCGGAACTTCATGCGAGGCCGACTCGTAATGAGCAAAACCAATCGATGACCAGAGGGGTTACCACCTGGCGATTGGTAAGACGTCGTGACCCTGCCGATCTGCGTGAGGGGTGCCACCGAATTTTAAAAACTGTGGCAAGTCCCTAGTGTTTTTGAGCCATGACCCTACGGATCCGCGTGAGGGGTGCCACCAAATTGCAGAAATGTTCCAAATCCCATGTGTTTTTGACCCTAACCCCGCCGATCTGTATAAGGGGGTCAGCAAATTTGAGACATGTTGCAAGTCCCTTGTGTTTTTGGACCCTGACCCCGCCGATCTGCGTGAGGGGTGCCACCGAACTTCAGAAATGTGGCGAATCCCTTGAGTTTTTTGGACGCTGACACTGCCGATCTGCGTGAGGGGTGCCATCGAATTTCAGAAATGTGGCATATCCCATGTGTTTTTGGACCCTGACCCCGCCGATCTGCTTGCGGGGGTCAGTAAATTTCAGAAATGTTGCAAATCCCATATGTTTTTGGACCCTGACCCCGCCGATCTGCATGAGGGGTGCCACCGAATTTCAGAAATGTGGCAAGTCCCTTGTGTTTTTTGTGACCCTGACCCCGCCGATCTGCGTGAGGGGTGTCAATTTTCACCCACCCCAGCAATTCAGAGCACACGCTCAGGGCGTGCTAAACCTGCCCGTTTGGGGGTCCATCAACAAGGAACAGTAAGCAGCAAGAAGCAGAACTGTAACAGTGGAAACTGGAAGCTGCAACTGGTCGAGGAAACTGCGAACCTTCGCCTTACAGCCTGGTGGCCCCACAAGGGGGCCGGCGGATTAGTTCGGTATTGCGCGGTACGATATGCAATCTGTCGGGTGCACGCTATGTGTTGCAGCTTATGTCGCGCAGTCCGTGCGAGCATCCATAAAACCTGGCATGCGCACGGGGCGGCCACGAGGCGTCCACGAGAGGCCACTGGGCGAGAACCCCGATGGCCCTGCCATCGCACTGGGCGCTCATGAGGCGGCTACGGGCGACCGACGGGCGAAAAGCCAGGAAGTCCTGAAAAAGACCTGGCAGGGCGCCTGGCCGCACTCAGGCGGCCACAGGTGGCAACCAGGCGGAAGCCTGGCAAAAGCAGCGACTCACGTGGCAAGGCAGGCAAGGGCCCCTTCGTGCGGTGGGCGCCACGTGCAAGCACCGCTTGGGGAGAATTGGCACCGTAGTTTGCGAGGGCGCGCTGTGAGCGGAAAACTGGCAGCACGGCTGGGCAAGGCGCGCGCATCGCCCCTCTGGGCGATGATGACAATTCGGTAGGCTTGGATAGCAAATCACGGTAGTCTTGCGTACTCTCTCATTGTCGCCTTTAGAGTGCACTCGCGTCGGTCGGCGGCGGGTAGTCGATGGCGCCGGCTTGGCGTCGACTAGCGTCGATGAGCGTGGATTTGCCGTCGGCTAGCGTCGAGGAGCGTCGACTTCAAGAGCCAGCAGGATGGTATGGAAGGCTCCGATGACTTTGACACCGAAGATGGTGTCCATTCGGGAGGCAGGCGCGTGCAGTCGTTCCAGCGCGTGCGCGGGGCGCCGTTCCCGCTCCCTTCCCTCGGAGGAGGGGAGGGGCCGCTACCCTCCGCTCGTTTTTCCCGCTCTGGGCCTCCTGGGAGCTTTCGTCGCCCTGGCTGAAGAATTCGCTTCGGGATTCTGATCAGAGTGCATCGCAGGAGAAGTCGGGGGAGCAGCGGTATCGTTTTTGTTGGTTCGTTCTCCTCCTCTCCGCCCTCCTGCTTCTCGTTCTCCTAGGCTGTGCCGTCGCCAAATCTAGCGTGGCAACATGCACCTGTCGGTCGTTGCATTGATTCCATCCTGCTTTGAGAGCGTACGCCTACTGTTCGTAATGTGTTTTGGTCTGAGGAAATGGCGGCATCTACCTACCTCTCATGGTTTGTTTTCCTTCTGACCGAATAAACCTACAACCTTGCGAGGAGGGCGCTTGGAGGGCCATTCGAGGATTTGTGGAGAGCATGTCAGCCATCCAACCAGCCATCGAGCCAGCCAACTAGTCAACCAACCAGCCAGCCAGGCAAGCTGCCAGCCAGTTACAAGCCAGCCATGAAACACGTCTTCAAGAGACTAGTTGGCTCGCACTTGCATTGCGTGAGGGACTATGACAGAGTGCGTTGGGGGGGATCCTCCGAGTCTCTGGTGTCAGTCGTGGTAACCTCGTAGTGCCGGACCCATGTGTCGCAGTACATGCGGTGCAAATCATTTTGTTGTTTGAATGAGGGTGTCAAACCGAGCGCTCGTGTAAACATCCCACCCTCCCACCCGCAGCTTGTTATTCGGAAGTGTGAACTGGGTGCTGAATACGACGGGTCATGACGATGTCGATGGCGATGCTCAAGATGAGGATGTTGATGTTGATGACGATGGCGATGATGATGGTGATGCTGATGATGGTGATGATGATGGTGCTGATCAGGACGACGGTCGTGGCGATGTCGACGGCTACGATTGTGCTGGTGATCAAATTGCTGATGGCGATACTGACGGTGGCAATGCCGACGCTGGCGATGATGACGGTGATGTTGTTGGTGCCAGAGAGGGCATGGCTGAACGGCTGGGTTCCCCCAAGCCGCACGTATCTGTTTCAGCCAACATTACATTGTCCGAACTCGTTTACCCTATCAGTGTTTTTGTTTTGAACTGGCAGACAGCGCTGCATCGTGCAGCACCTGCCTCCACCCCTCTCGATTGCGGTTTCGGATCTGCTCCGCGATCTCTCTTCGTTTGGCTCATGATGCGGACGGCACACGTGCGAGCTAACCCCGCGTTGATGTTGTTCTTGGGTCGAAAAACAGTATTCGGAATCTGCAGTCAGGTGTGACCCTCGGACTGCTGAGGCCTGAGCGATCAGTTGGTTCTCCTCCTCTTTCTCTTCCTCCTCGGGCCATCTTCTCCGAATGGCGGTCCTCCTCGCCCTTCTTCTCCCCTGCTCCCCCTCAGAGAGTCCCTCGATGAGATCAAGCGGGGATGCTTTGTACCCTGGACCCGTGCCCCTCCAGAGCTGTGCGAGAGCAGTAGTCTGGCCGCTGTGCCAAACAGCTGGGGCTTGGAGCGCGGCACGCGCCGCCCTGATCCGAGATGCGTGCTGCTGGGCATGAGGGGGTTCTGAAAGCCTCGCCCTCCTTTGCTCGTCCTCCTACTCGTCCCTAGACTTGTGGAGGACGATCCCTGGGGAGGAAGCATGCTGCCAAATAATTTCCAGAGGTCTGAAGCATGTGGTAAACATGTTCAAACTTGTAGGAACATGTTGGACACATGTTTAGAACATGTTTTACACACTTTAAACACATCTTTAGTTCAATGATGGGATTGTTAGGGTGTCCAGTGTCATGGCATCCACAACCCTTTCCCCATTCCATGCCGCGGCCGCCGCGCTGCTCAGCCGCGCGGTTAGCCACGCCAGCCTCCGAGCCGGCCGCTCCCCAGGGGTTCGAGTTCGACAAGGTCTGCAGGCCGGAGGCGGCGCCGAGTGCCAGGACGCGGGCTTCGTCTCGAGTTGAGAGGGGTGGGAGCACTGCATATGTGTATGTGTAGATACGTAGGCATGTCTGTCTGGTTGTATGTATGTCTGCCTGTCTGTCTGTAGGTATGTTATATGCATGTATGTATAACTGTATGTATGTATGTATGTATGTATGTATGTATGTATGTATGTATGTATGCATGTATGTATGTATGTATGTATGTATGTATTTATGTGTGTATGTCTGCATGCGTGCATGAATGCACGTATGTGTATGTATGAACGCATGCATACATGTATGTATGTGTGTATGTGTGTATGTATGCATGTATGCATCTATGTATGTATGTACGTATGTATGAGTGTACGTATGCATGTATGTATGTATGTAGGTAGGTAGGTAGGTAGGTATGTAGTTGTGTGTATGTCTGTCTGTATGTCTGTATGCATGTATGTGTGTATGTATGTATGTATGTATGTACGTAATGAAATGTAATGTAATGTAATGTAATGTAATGTAATGTGATGTAATGTAATGTATATATATGTTTGTATGTATGTATGTATGTATGTATGTATGTATGTATGTGTGTATGTGTGTATATATGCGTGGGTATGTGTATGTGGATGTGTGTATGCATGTTTGCATGCATGCACGTATATATGTATATACATATGTACGTAGGTATGTAAGTCTAGGTGCTGATTCGTTATTTCATTATCATGCAGAGAGATCGACACGTACGTACATATCCATAAGTGTATATATATATATATATGCATATGTATACATGATGAAATAAAGATGTGGGCATACATGGAGAATGAGATAGAGAGCAACTCAAGAGAGAGAGAGAGAGATGTAGGGATGTAGTTCACTGCGAATAGGGTTGGCTATGGTAATGGACATGATGCCTGACAGGGCAGCCAACAAGCGGTTTCGACAGGGGCAGCCCATACGACGTGAACCCCTTGGCCGGCTTCCTGACGTTGGGGGGGGGGGAGAGAGCGGGCAGCTGGACAGTTGCAGCACAGTTGTCCACATGCCTCCGTTTCTCCATCCATATTTCCTCCCGTTCCTCCTGCTGATTCCGACCGTTGTCCTTCTCTTCCCTTGTCTTCCTTCCGTGACTTCCATTCTTACTCTTCCGTCCTCCACATCCGCCTCCACATGCTCGAGCTCGCTCCAACTTCTTGCCCCAGTTCGTTTTCTCGTCCTCTCTCCATCTCTTGGTCAGATCATCCCCGCTCCACATACCCATACCCATCATCCACAACCCTTCGCTGCCCCCTTATCGAAGACGCATGCGGCGAGCCAACGCCGTCCCCTGCCTCTTGAACACGCCTGGGCCTTGAAGTGTCAAACGAAAGTTTCCCTGGGGCCGTCTTCGGGTTGCCTTGGGTTTTTTTGTTTCTGGATTTGGGGACGCAGAGGAGGGCTCTACGTCGGCCCCCTTGGACTATCTCAGGACATGAAAGGGGTCGGAGTCCGAGCCGCGCTTCCGGGGCCTCAAGAAGAGCCATGCAACACACCTCAGGCATGCCGTCGGCTTCCGTGAGTTCGGGGCTTGCGGGCCTTGAAAAAGAGCAGTGCCGAATTTCGTTCCAGAGGATTCGAAGGTACAGTCACGACGCTGAAATAAGGAACTGTTTTGGTTCGGAAGGGGCTCGATGTTCCCCAGGTTCCTCCATTGCTGTCCCTCTCGCCCTCCTTGGGCACGGAGGCGCTTTTTGGGCCCCAACGGGGTTTCGTTCCTTATTTAGCGTTCTTTCTTTCAGCGGCCCGACTGTACCTGAGGACACCTTCAGTGCCTACGGACCAGTGGGTCATCATCCACCATATCTTCCTTCTGTGCGACGATGGCTATTCTGCTACCCCTTCCCTTCCTCGAGATGGTGTGGGGTGGCGAGGGCTTTTGTGAGTGTGTGTGTGTGTGAGGGCGCGATGGCAGCCTCGGTGGAAGCTGCCCCCCCCCCCCCGACGTGAAGAGTTAGCGCGCGGATCGTCCTAAACCTGCTGGGCTGGACCCGTCCCGTCGTTTTTCCCTGTGCCTCCTTTCCTTCCCCCTTGCCCCCCCCCTTCGGCTAGCTTCTTCCCCTCGTTGTGTCTTGCCGTGCCCTTGTCCTTCCCCTCCTTGTGTCTTGCCCTGCCCTTGCGGTGTGTGGTGGCCTCCTCTCTGCCCCTCGGCTTCCCCTCCGTGGGGCGGCCCGTTGTCCCCAGCGGCCGCAAGTCTGTCTCCCTCGATTGTTTGCTGTCACTCCTCGCTTCTTGCTTCTCTCTCCCTCTCTCTGCTGTTGCTTCTCTCCCTCGATTGTTTGCTGTCACTCCTCGCTTCTTGCTTCTCTCCCTCGATTGTTTGCTGTCCCTCGATTGTTTGCTGTCTCTCTCTCTCTCTCTCTCTCCGCTTTGCTTGGCCCCCTGTTGCCCTTGCCTTGCTGGCTCCTCATCGTCCCGCTCGGCCAGCTTTGGCCGCCGCTGCATCGTGAGAGCGCACTGTCCTGTTTTCTTACCTTCAAACGGCTAGAGGCCAGGCCTAGCCCAGAACGGCTGAAACGTGTGTGTGTGTGTTTGTGTGTGTGTGTGTGGGTGTGGCCCCCTTGCCCAGGAGACCACGGCTCCGTGCGATTCCAATTTCGCTGACGCGGCCAATTGGCGTCTGACCGATATTTCCTGCAACATCGCGGAGGAAAGAGCAAGTCAGTGTAAGCGTGTGTCTGTGTGTCGGGGCACTATAACTAGCTCGGGCCGCCGCATGGTGACTTTACCGCGCTGGGCGCCCCTCGACCCCTGGTGCCTCTCGTCGGCACGAACGAGATGGGTACGGGTCAATGGGTACAATGCCCAAAAGCAGTTCCTGCTCATTTTGAACAGGACTCGCTGTCGGTGTCGCCGCGGCCTGTGTCCATCTGAGACAGAAGGCCGCCTGCCCAACAGCGGCCGCTGTTGGTTTGGGACAACTTTTGTTGTTGGGCATTGTACCCATTCTTTCCGTACCCATTTCTGGCGTCTGAATCTCGGGGCGGTGTTAGTCGGTCCCCTCCTCCTCGACATTCCGCCGTCGTCCTCTGCCTTCGTCCCGCCGTCGTCTCCCTGCCGTCTCCCGCCCCTGCCGTCGTCGATCGCTGGTCGTCCCTCTCCCGTTCTCCATCACTCACTGCCTCCGCTGTTTCTCTTCCTGCTGGTGCTGCCAGCTGGTGCTGACTGCTGCTGCTGCTGCTGCCCCGTCGCTGCCCTCCCACCTCCCGGGTCGCCCCCTTGGGACCAACATGCTTCGGGGCCCGTCGGCCACCTCTCGTCGCGCCAGGTGAGGGCAACACTTTTGTCCATATCCACAGCGTCTTGGGCGTCCTGGGGAGGGGCGCCAAAAGGCCGGGGCTCAGTGGAGACGGGCAGGAATCTTGCCTCTGGGGGGCAGGGTCTTGTCCACATCCACTGCGCCTCGGGTTTCTGGGGAAGGGAGCCCGACACTCCAGCACGCAGTGGATGTGGCCCGCACTCGGCGCGGCCCTCCCTTCCACTCTCTCCCTCGTCCTGCTTCCGTCCTCCTCAACTGCCCCGCCCCCCCCCTACAGTAAAGACGCTGACATAGGGAACATTTTGGGTTCGGCAGGGGTTGGATGTTCCTCAGGTCCTTCCATGGCCGTTCCTCTGGCCCCCTTGTGGTCGAAGGCGTTTTTGGGGCCCGAAAAGGGCGTCTTTGCTTCTGTAGCCTTCGTTATCTCAGCGGCCCGACTGTACCCCCCTCCCGGGGCGCCGCGCTGACCGGCCTGCGTCCCGGGGCCGTTCGCCGCCGCCTCCTCCGCCGCGCTCGCATCCCCCCCTCTTCCGGCGTGGACGGGCCGCTCCGCCTCTCGGAGGGTTCGCGCGGCGTCTCGCCACCGATCTGGTCGGGCGCGCTTCGGCACTCGGTCCAACAGAAGCCCTCGTGCCGGTCGGTGGTGGTGCGGCCCCGCCCGGCCTGCGTCCCAGGCCGTTGGGCGCCGTTGGCCGTTCTTCTCGCGCCGTTGGCCGTTTTTTGTTGTTGCTCTCTCTCTCTCTCTCTCTCTCTCTCTCCCGTCTCTCTCTCTCCCTCTCTCTCTCCCTCTCTCTCTCCCTCTGTCTCTCTCCCTCTCTCTCTTCCTTTCTCCTCTCCCGCCTTCTTCTGCGGTGCGGCCCCCGCCGCGATCTGGCGACCGCCTAAGGCTTCGCCGCGGCCGCCCGCAGGCCGAAGGTGGCCAGTCTGAGCCCTCCTGAAAGGGCCAGCGTCGGTCTCGGCAGACGCTGCGCTTCGGTGGCGCACTCTCCAGCCTTCTCCTGGGCAGTGTCTCCTAGGATATCGCTGGCACCACCACCCAGGAGGCAGCGCTGACCTCAATGGCCATGCCTTCTCGCGGCACTCTGGGCAGACTCGCTGCTACCATCGTCCGCTGTCTGAGGCAGGCACCCCGTGCGCGGCCTCGCTTGCCTCCCTCGCTTCTCTTGCACTTCTCCCGCTTCGCATCGCCAGTTCCCCGGGAGACCGCGTCCACGGGTCCACGGCTTTAGCGCAGTTGCCACACGTGCGTTTTTGCAGCGAGATTGCGCGTCCCGCCACTCGCGTGTAAGCCATGTCCGCCACGCCGCGGACGAGGACAGCGTGCGCGCGTGCTTGCTGTCTTCACGCGCGCGTCTCAGGTGGTGTCCTTCGCCCCTACTTCGTGCTCCGCCCCTACTTCGTGCTCCTGTCTTTGGCAGGTGAAAGACCCCAGGAGCACACATCGCAGAGCCGCTTCAAAAGCGCGTTCGTTTTGTTGTTTGATTTTTATTTCGCCGCGTTGGTGACTCCACGTTCCCACCTCTATAGGTAGGCCGCATCATTCAGCCCTCTCTGTCGGGGGGCGACGGGGCTGTCGCCCTCAAATTGCAATCAACGCTGACTTCAACCTTCGGGTTGCGTCCTGCGTAGAACAGCGAAGGCATCGCTGTCAGAATCTTCTGTCTTGTGACGATGCGCTCACCAGCAATACGAATTTGTTGTCATGGACCACGCTGCTGGCCAACACACCCTGGAGGTCGCCGCGATGTCATGGCTGGTAGGTCGCTTGCTGTCAAGTTGCTGGTGGGCAACCTGGGTAACCAAGTCTGCGCAGCTCCGTTGGACGGAGAAGAGCCGCAGCGGCTCCTGCTGGACCCAGGCACGCTGTGCGAGAGCGTCCAAGCGACGTGCGGGCAGTCGGCGACTGAATTGCAGACAAACCCAGGCGAGTTTTCAGCGGGCTTTGGCGCCGGACCTGGAGCCACCGACGGACCACGGCGCGACCCAGCAAAAGCGGCCAGTGCCCACAGAACAGCGGACGCGGCTCGCCCCCGATTGCCCGATGGGCGGGCAATCGGGGGGGTCAGATTTTCGCCTGGGGCGGCGTCCGCGTGGAGGCGCAGCCCACAGCACGATATATACGTATGTATATATACACATGTACATCTAAACACACACATATATATAGACATATCCATGTTTGGTTGCCCAAAAAAGAGTAGCCGCCCGAGCCACCCCAGGGGTCCTGTACCTGGGCTTCGGGGGCCCATGCCCTTCCACCAGAGATGCTTCTCCGGCGCCACCCCGCGTGCCAGGGCCCAGTCCGTGGATGCTGCCCACGCCCCAGGACGGATCGGTTCGATCAAGCAGACTGCTAAAGACACCGATGTGGCCCGTCCGTCCGAGGAGCGCATGCACTCGGCTGGACGGCCACACCCTGCTGAACACCATTTGTTTTCCGCTTTCGGAGGGGCCGCTCCCACGGAGAAGCCAACCGGCGTGTTTCTTCGCCCGCGCGGCAGGGAAACAGGGGCGGGCGGGTTGGCGGGAGAGCGCCTGGGGCCGAAGATTCCCGCGGCGCGCCCCAGTGGGTGCGACGCCACCCTAAGAAGAGGAAGAGCGCCGTTGGTGACCTCGCCCCCCCTCCCCCCGGAGTGCAGCCAAGACAATGAGACAAGGAACGCGCTGGGCTCCGAAGGGGCTCTAGTCTTCAGGCTTCTTCCTGGGCCGTTCCTCAAAGCCACGTCGGGGAATCTCTGTTCGTGGCCCTGGCCCTGACCCCCCGTGTCCACAGCATCCGGACGGGGCTAGGACGAGGACATATACGCTCCAGAGCGTTCCAGAACGCTCTCAGCGCGTTCTGGAACGCTCTGAGAGAGCCGCGGTTTCCGAGACATCCTACAGAACCAGAGCCCGATGTTAGCCTCGTCTTGGCCTTGTTTTAAGCAGCTCCTTCGGTCCTCCGTCACGCTTTCCGCCAGGGACGGTGTCTGGTGACGAGGGGCGGGCGGCCCGATCCTCTCTCGCCGGCCCTCGTACGGCAGCATGACGACTACAGGCGACGGTCGGGTGGGCCAATCCGTCCGGGCGCGCAGGAAAACGGCGGAGAGCGAGGGGGGGGGGGGACTTGAGAAGGAGGAGGCCTTCTCAGAAGGCGGCTGGACTTCTCAGAAGGCCTCCGGCCTTCTGAGAGGTTCTCTGTGTCTTCGGGGAGGGCTTCTTGAACACCTCTCAGGAGGCCGGGGGACTTCGGAGCCTTCTGCGACGGCACGCGCCTTCTCACGCCCCCCCCCCGGGCTCGCCGCCGCGAAACGCCCTTCGCTTCGGCCCGCGGGCCGAAATGTCTGCGCCTCGCATGCCTTCTGCGTAGACGTTTCGACGATCGTCGAAATGTCTACAGTCTCTTCGGGGCTCGTTTCGTCGAAATGTCTACGACAACAAGACTGCCTTTGTCGAAACTTCTGCGGGGGCGGACGGGTGGGCCGATCCATCCTCCGGGCGCTCGCCCCGGAGATGCACGGCCTGGGCGCCGAGAGGCCCCGGGGGGGCGGGCCTCTCGGCGCGGAGTCCCGGCGGGCCGCGCGCAGGGGAGCTCTCGGGGCACCTTTCGTGGTGGGAGTGGAAAAGAGGGGGGTGATGACTAGGGGGGGTGGATTTCATGGCGGGGGCCATGATATTTCCCCAGATTTCATGGCGCCGCTTCTTATTTCATTACGTCCCTGGCCCCCCCGCTGGGCCGCACACATGCCGCCGGTCATGATTTGCACCCCCCCCTCTTGGACACCCCCCTCTTTGCCGCCCCCGACTTTCGTGGTGGGGGTGGGGGGGGAGGGCTGCAGGCCTAAAAAGGCACACTGGCCCCAAAGTCAAGTCGGGCCAAAGTCAAACATTGCAACAAAAATAGTCAGAGAACTATTTGTTGGACCATGTTTGAGCATTTCGGGAGCATGTGTGGGGTATGTGTTTCATTGTTCGTCCAGAACCCCCCTGCAGGGGGACACGCCCGACCTCATCCTAAAGGGACCCCCCGCCCTGCGGCAGGGGAAGGGGGCCCAGATCCCTCCCTGCCCCCACTGCCCGCTCCCTGCTGGGCCCCCGCGGGCCTCGCGCGGACGGAAGCTCTGGTTAGGTCGTGCGTGTCCCCCTACAGGGGGAACTTATGTGGAAAATTCCACATACCCAACAAATAGTCCCGAAATTCTCAAAAATAATAGAAAATAGTCCCCAGACTATCTTTCCTATTTTTTGATATTCCCCCTGTAGAGGGATAGGCCCGACGTGCAGCTCTGGACATGACGTAGGGGGGGGAGGGGCGATCCAAGGGGGGATCGAGGGCTGCCAGAGAGGAGGCTCAACGTCAGAGGAACATGAGGTCGTGATGATGATGCGTCCCAGGAATTCCAAAGAGGCTCCTGGATCTTACACATTCCTGATGTTCCGCTCCGGCTGCGCCGCTAGATTCTCGGGCAATCCTGAACCGCATCCCGAGCCAATCTTATCGCGACATCAGGCTCAAGGGTGCACCCTCCTTCGCCCGCGCCAATTGATCGCTCCCGGTTGCGGAGCGCCCGACAGTTCTTAGTGGAGGCGGCATTGGGAGCGGGGGGCCGGATGGGGTTCTCTGGCGTTCCGTCGTTGAGATAGGAGCGGTCTGTCGTTTACAGTGGGGTTTGCCCCGTCCTTCCTCCCTCCCATCCCCCACCCTGCTCTCTGCCTTCTCCCTTTCCTGCTTGTCCTCCTCTTCCTCCTCCTTCTCTTCCTCCTCCTCCTCCTCTCCTTCCTTATCCCCGTCCTCCGCTTCCTACTTCTTCCAAGCTTCCTCCTATCCTTCCTCGTATTCACCTTCCTCGGTTGTCCCTTCTCCCTCTCCTCCTCGCCTCTCGCCCCTCGCCCCCCTCCTGCTGCTGCCTCCACCCTGCTGCCCCTCCTCCTTCTCTTCATCCCTGAGGCCCACTTGCGCCAGAGTTGGCCCCCCTCCCCCCTCGCCTACAGGATCGGTGGGTGCACATGTGGCTTCGAACCGATAGTGTATACTCTTCATCTTCATCCGACCCATCCTGTTCTGCTTGCTCTCTTTCATTGCCTTCCTCATCATCCTTTCATTCCTTCGTCTCCTTATCATGGTGACTAGCCTCATCCTGGCCATCCCCTACTCCTCCCGCTCGTCAGCCTCTTCCCCCTCCCTGTCCTCCTCTCCTGTTTCCACTCTTCCTCTGCACGATCTCGTTCGTTCTTCTCCTCAGTAGGCCTCCCCTGCTCCTTCCCAGTTCAATCTCATCCCGAGGGGAGACGAAGGGCTGCAACCGGGCATCCCGCGGATCCTGCTGCGCTCCTTCCCAGTGCGGCCCAGCATGGTTTGCATCATCCTTGTCGGACGGAACAGCTGCTTGTTCGTCATCCTTGGTTGCATCATCCTTTGCATCGATCGTCATTTCGGCTCGAGCTGCTTGAAGCAAGACGCAGCCTCTTGATCCGGGACCCCAGACTTCTGGGGGACCTGCGCAAATCCATATACTGTGCGTATACGTTCACAGCGTCAGGCTCACTTGCGCCTTGGGGCTGTAAGACCAGCCATTTCTGAAAGAGGCCGCCAGTCGCGTTCCAACTTGTTGTTTTGCAGACCCAGCCGCAATGATCAATGGAGCGACGGACTCTTTCAGAACGAGGCGTCTTACTGCTTACTGCAGCTGGCGAGCCCGAGGCTTTTACTCATTGTATTTCTTCCGTTGGCAGGTCGCGTGGGCGGCCTGAGTAATGCCGAGCGGTGCCCATGAGAAAACTCCCTTGTTACAGAGGTGCCCAGAGCTGAGCGAGATGCCCACCGATCTCCACGAGGATGCTCTGACGGGACATCGGGAACAACTGGCCGGAACCGCTGCGGCCAGGAGTTTTGCCCACCGTGGGCGCGTCAAGTCTCATTGGAATTTGAGTACGAACATCGCCGCTGAGGATATGAAACTAGGCTTTAATGGCATCGCTTCCTTCCAGAGCAAAGAGACGAGCCTTGACGGCGAAGCGTCGGAGGCCAAGCTCATCAAGTACTCAGACGACGTGGGGACATTCAAGGCACTCATGTACGTCTCGGGAACCGTTCTCATGAGCAAAGCGTTGTGGAAAAGTTGTGCGATCTATTGGATCCTCGCCTCTCTTTGCGCCATTGGTGCGTACGTCGCCCAGCAGAACATCATCAAGAGAGGGCAGCAGGTCCCTGATTTTTCAGAGAGTTTCGAAACAATGGCCAACTACTTCACCGCCCTCATTGGCTTCATGATCAGCATGTTTGTGACCACGCTGTTTGGCCGATGGTGGGCCATTCGGACAGATGGCCTTGGTGGCCTATGGGGCGCGGTCGACGATCTCATCGTGCTTCTCTCCATCCATATGCCTTCAAGGGATGACAGGGCAATCAAGGAGCGCATATTGCGATTGGGTCTTCTCTCTCACAGGCTTGTGTATGCACAGGCCCAGAGCTTGGAATCCCGAGAGCATTTGAAGCAGCTCGTGAATGTAGGGCTGATGACGGTTGAGGAGTTGGATGTCCTCGAAAAGGAGTTCTCCAAGCCACAGGCAGTTTGGGTGTGGATTGGTCAAATACTCCACGCTTTAGCCGCGAAGGGGAAGTTCCAATGCAACGATGTGATGTTGCCCAAGTTGGACAAGCTTTGCGTCAAAGCCCGTAGCTCCATTGGGCTCATTTTCGCTTATACGGATACCCAGGTACCCTTTGCGTACGTGCACTTGTTGGTGTTGAGCATTATCTTCTCGAACTGCTTGATCGCTCTCAAGTGTGGCTTGGCAATCGGCTTTTGCTTCGGATCGAGCCCTGGTCAGACAACGATCGACGTTCCGAACGCGATGAAGGTAATTGTGCAGGTGTGCCACCTTGCCGTTATTGAAGAGGATTATGCCATTCCGCCGACTCCCCGATGAGGAGATGTGCGGCTTCCGGTTTCGTGTGTTTCGTTTGCCACTTCACGTCGTGTTGCCTGCGTGCAGTTGTTGCTCATTCGTGTTTCTCTTCCTCCGTGTCTGTTGCGGGGCGTCTTGGGGGCCTTTTGGAGGCCCATGGTGGGGCCGCCTGGAGCTTTGTCAAGGCTCCCTTTTTTTCGAGGGGCCCTCCGGGGGCTTCTTTGGGGCCTCTTGGGGGCATGTTGGGCGGCTTGGAGGCCATGGGCATGTTGGGCGGCTTGGGCATGTTGGGCGGCCTGTTGGGGGCATGTTGTGGGGGGGGTGCTCCGGGGGTCCCTGGGATTTCCCTTTCGTGGGCCTCCCCTGGAGGCCCTTGGGCCAGCTGGGGGTCGTCTCGCGCTCTGCTGTTCGGCTTGCATACGCCCGGAGACCTGAGAAGGCGAAAATCGTTCACAAACCAACGGGACGTCCTTGATTCATGCCTTTTGATGTCCTCATGGGGGACCTGTTAGGGCCATGTGCAGTCTTGAGGCCCTCTGGGGTGTTCTTGAGGCCTTTCTGTATTGGCGCCCTTCGGGAGCCACCTCAGCAGGCATCTTGGGCATCCTGTCGGACACGGAGGGGAGACTTCAGAGGCTTTGGTGGCTTAGGATGTGGGCTGGCGAGCTCGTGCACCCAACGTTCCCACCCACCCCACTCCGAGATTTGGGGCCCCCGTGAAGGGGAAATGGGGGGGAGACAGTATTATGGGCCTTCTCACCCCTGGCAAGCGGGGATCGGTGGATTCCGTTCTTCTACCATGCTTTCGTCCACATCGGCTTGGAGCTTGCCAACCCACTTGGCACGGACTATCTCTGCCTTCCTGGCTATTCCTTCCACGTGTGGATGAGGAACGAGAATATGAGCTTTATGCGGACAGGAGAGAGGACGCCGGAAGCGTTGCTGGTTGTTTGATGTAGTAGGTGACATTGCCTCCACTGACAAGAAATTGTCCTAATGTAGATGCAAACCTCGCTCGTCAGAGTTCACGATTAGAGTGTCGTCATCGCGATGACTAGTACACTCGGTTTCGCGGACACCCGAGTCAAAATACCGATGATGCCTAAGCCTCGTGCTCTTTCGCTGACTCAAGGGATGCACCCAGAAGACCATCCAAATTGCATGCCTCTTTCGCGTTCGCATGATGACGTCAGCTACATCATGTAACAGCGACTGTCATGCCACGGGGTGTTGCGTATTCGACTCCAAGGGTACCACATATCTCCTCCTGTGTGCCATCCTATCCTTCACCCGAGCCGTTCCATGGAGCCTCCACTGCCGCGTGATGCGAATAGGGCAAGGATGGGTTTCTGCTTCGTCGTGGAAGATGGGGGAGGTCCGTGGCAGAATGAGACGAGGATGTGCCGTGCCAGCCAGGACCGGCGGGAGCTAGCATCACCAGCTTAGGAGACCAGCGAGGCTAGCGAGAGCAGAGCCAGACACAGTGCGAGAGATGACACGCTGATCGCATCGTCGGGTGCCTCTGCTTGCATCAGGAGCAACGACAAGGGGGTGATCGAGTCAGGGAGGGACGCATCTACTACCCCCAATCGCTCATTTATCGCCGATCGGGACCCGATAGAGCCCATCCAGCCCAGGAACGTGCGGATTCGCTGTCGGGAGCTTCTTGCCGATCTATTGGCGATGCATCGCCGATTCACGCCCGATGATCCTCCCCTTACCCAGACCCCCGACGTCATGATTTTGTGATAACGTCGACCCACCAGCGGTCTCGACCCCTTCCCTGGGACCGGCTTCTTCATCCTGAGCCGTTCTTTGACGGCCGCGAGGCCTGGCCAAGGGCGCCCGGAGGCAGAACACAGCGAACGACCTCCCCCCCCCGCTGTGATTTTCGCGTGACTCCATGGGGAGGCCTGGGAACGGTGCCCCTCACTGCAGCTCGCCTCCGCGCCCACGCCCACCCTCGGCTGGTCAGGCCGCTCTGCTCGCGGGCTGCCGCCGCCGAGGCCCGCCGCTGACCGCCCCCCCCCCCCCCGCGCGACGCGGCCAGCCGCCTGCGAGGGCAGCTGCCGCCGGGCAGCTGCCGGCGGGCGACTGTCATCGGCCGCATGGCCGCGGCGCCCTCGCCTTGGCTGCTGGGCCGCCCCTGCGGCGCTGGCGGCGGTGTGGAGGGCGCCGAGGTTCAGAGGCCGAAGAGGCACCCGTGCCGCTACACTTCCCCCGTTGTCCCCCTCTCTTGGCCTCCTGGGAGGCCCTCGTCGCCACCGCCGGATGCGCCTCGAAGTCCTGGCCAGAACGCACCCCGGGAGAGGTACGCGGAGAAGCGGTAATACGGTGGGGGCGTTCTGATGAGGGCGGCGGTTATATCCATGACCGATCCACGATTGGAATTACCAGCTTCCAGACCCTGGATTCCTTATCCAATGGATCCTTCTCCAGCGCCCCCACCGTATCGGCACCGCTTGGGGTCCCAAGAGGTGCTACGGGAGCTGCTCGCCGCGCCACCGGCACAGGTCGCCGGCTGGGCCCTGGACCTCGGTGGCAGGCAGAAGGGTCCCGCAGTTACCACTGGGTGCAGGCCGGAGGCCCGGGCTTCCGCCCAGCATCGGGACTCCAGAGACGGGGGACAGTGCAAACGGGGGTCAGTCAGAGCGCCTGATCTCGCAGGATCCTGCAGAGCCAGGGTCGCATTGACCCGGGGTTGGGCGCTGGATTCTGCAGGATTTTGCAGGGCTTCGCAGGATCCTGCAAAGCCTGGCTGAACTGCCTGGAGGTCTCATCCGGCCTATTTTTCGTATGGCTGCTTAATTTAGTCTTGCAGCTTTAAAATGTTATAGTACTGCATGCTTATTTGAGTGCGGCGGCGGCTCCGGCCTAAATTTAGTGGATTGACCCGGGTCAGCAAATCCCCGACAGCAGCGGGGGCGGCGCTTGCAAGTGGGGCGGCGAGAGGGGGGGGGGGATCCTCCGAGAAGCCTGGCGGAAGGCAGGGGGCTCCTCGAGAGTGTTTTCCCTTCTCGGCGCCTCCTTTTTTCTGCCAGAAGCCCTCGGGCCGTCCTCTGGGGGAAGAGCAAGCGGCATTCACGTGAATTTTTTTGGAAGTCCGCGCGGACTTCTCGGATCGGCGTTGGGCTCCCCCCTCTCTGGCGCGCGGAGCGCGCCATGGGGAGGCGCCGGGGGCGCCGCCAGAGGGTCCGAGCGCAGATCCAAGAAGCATCCGCGCGGGGATCCGATTGCTTACATTCATGCATGTGCTCCTCCTCCATAAGCAAGGGCTCCCTCGAGGGCGCGAAGTTATTCGCGCTTCGCGCTTCGCCGTCCTCCTTCCTCCTCCCCCTCCTCCTCGTCCTCCTATTCTCCCTTTGGGAGGGCGGCGCGAGAGCGCGAAGTTATTCGCGCTTCGCGCTTCGCGGAGCGCGAAGCGCGAAGCTGGGAGCCCTTGCATAAGAGGTCCCCGACTTGACGCCCTCTTCGGATTCCCTCAGGCCCTCCTCCCTCCCTTTTTCCATCTCCTGGGCGACCAGCCCGTCAAGCAGTGGCCGGGTGTCCTGACTTGCGCGTAGGCCAGGATGTTCAAAGAGCCTTCTGTGCTTTGCACGAGCTGTTCTTACATCAATCCTGGCTGAGACGGTCTTGTTTTTCCTTGAGCGGCTTGATGTTCAAGAAATGGTCTTTGGTCTTAGAGCATTGTTCCGTTCGAAGAGCATTTCTTGGGCGGGGCTGGGACGAGGGTAAGTCCATTCCAGTGCGTTCCGACACGCTCTCCGAGCGTTCCATAAAGCTCTGAGAAGGCCGCGGCGCCCGCGACATCCTCCTGAGGAGGCGGCTACCAGAGATTCTCGATATATCCTTGCCCGATCATAATATCCTCGTCCTGGCTTCGTTTCGATTTCGTGGAACCCTTCCGTCCTTGTTTCTTCGGTCCATCCTTCATCACTTTAGATGGCCAGCCGCGCTCGAAAAAACTTCAACACGGGCGTCAAATGGGCTCGCACCCTCATCGCGCATCCTTATTACGAGCTTGTAAGACTGAAGTTTGCTGGATCTCGGGTTTGCCGGCGCTTTTTGGCGACTGCGTCTTGGATTATGACGGTCCAGTGGTCGCTGGATGTTGGCAGCGGGAGTTCGCATCAAATTCCAAGTTGGGTCTCGCCATTTTCATGATGGCCCCGCCATGCCAATCCGAGTCTGACGTTCGGTGAATACCTACGTAATAGTGGCCGCATTTCTCCTTTGGGGCGAAGGCAATGACACGAAAGCTATTCTGCGAAGGACTACCAGTTCCGTTTTTTTGCAATCTGGCTCGACCTGGTATGGTCGTGCTCGCTCGTGGATGGTGCGTCCCAGGCTCAGGCATGGTGCGCCCCAAGACCGTATCAGATGCATTCCGTTCGTGCCCGCACCAGCACTGCGGTTTTCGCCTCAGAGGTTGTCTTAGGGGCCATCGGCCCCGCTCGCCCGCGCGGGCCGTCTTGGACGCTCGTCATGCACAGAAAAGCCACCATCATAGAGTCGTATGACACAACGTGCTGCTTTCACGGCCTTGGCCACCCGAGCCAACTACCTGGTTTTCAAGACGGCCCAAAGGATGCTCAAGATGGACCGGATGAGGGCCCTTGTGGCCATCGTGGGGCCAGTGGGAGACGTGAGACGTGACTTCCTCACCATGTTTTCGGGTTTGGGGGAAAGCCGCGCGACATGCCCCGAGAGCCCTCGGCCCTTGATAATCCCCCAAACTGGCTTGATACCCTAGTTCGCAGGATTGTCATGGACCTGAGGGCACCCCACTACGTGCCAGAGGCACGGGCGTGCATCGGGGGTAAGTTCGTGCGGGGAGAGACGGAACCGCTGCTCCGCTAGGAGCGACGCACGTTACACTTGCAGGGTGATTGATGCGCCAGCAACGTGCTGCAAGAAAATTGGTGGTTCTGTTTCATAATTGTTTCGAACGTGTGGTCGCTGGCCGATGACCCCGCAGCCACGGGGATCTCGCGCCTCCCAGTTGCATGGCACAGGAGCCCCTGGCAGGCAAATGTCGACTGCACATGCGATGGACCGCGACATCAACTCTTCAGAACCACCGTGCAGGTTCGTGAAGGAGGAACCTGCTCAGGGGCCGAGCAGCTGTCACGCGCGCCTTTCCTTCCTGCGCCGGCTCCGAGGCACGGCTTTCACACACTCTTCTTCGGATGCAACTCCTGGGAGGTCAAATTCTGTTTGTGCCCTTGTCCGAAGTCCGGCTTCATCCGGCTAAATCTGGCTTAATATTGTTTAATCTGGCTGAATCCCGTTTAATCCCGCTTAATCCGAGGCCCACTCCGGCAGAACAGCCCCCCAATGGGGCTCAATCCTTTGAAATATTTCCGGCGAAAGTCTCCCAGTAGTTGCCTCCTAGCTCGTGCCCTTCAGGACCAGCTGGAGGCCATGACCGAAGGGGGCCTGGCTCAGAGCCCGCACCTGCTCGCCTTCGCCGGCGCCCTCGGCCAGGCGCCCGCGGAACAGAGGCGTCCAGAGGCCAATAATTTCGGATGCAACTCCTGGGAGGTCAAATTCTGGTTTTGCCCTGGTCCGAAGTCTGGGTTAATCCGGCTTAATCCCGCTAAATCCGGCTTAATCCCGCTTAATCCCGTTTAACCCCGCTTAATCTGGCTTAATCCCGTTTGATCCGAGGCCTTTTCTGGCTTAACAGCCCCCCAAAAGAGCTTAATCCTCCTTATTCTTTCCGACGAAAATCTCCCAGTACTTGCCTCCTAGAATAATGGGAGTCTCGTATACCGTCGGAAGTTCGTTTTAGAGTGCAATCGTTTCGATTGGTGTTTGGTCATCGACGAGATAGCGTTGATCCGGCGTCGACGAGCGTCCATTCGCGCTGACGAGTGTCGATTGAGCATCGCTTAGCGTCGATTCGCAAGAGCCCACAAGATGGTATGTGAGGCTCCCATGAATTGCCACCGGAGAG